TATGACTGCCAAGTTAAGCTTATATCTTTACAATCAAATATGAGTTTGTGACTGGCGCTTTAAGGGATCTGTTTTCTCTGTGGTTTATTCACATCGAACACCTAATCACAGCCAAAGTATACTGAACTATCACTGAAGCCACAAGAAAACCAGCTTATTTCAACACTGCTGGCCAATTAAAGCTCCTGCTGAGAAGGAAGGTTTCATCCGTTAGGTGTGCATCAGAGCCTGCGGGCCTATAGAATTTTCTTAAATAGAATACATAGAACATCGACCAGCTTTTTGTGTTAAATGGCTAACATATTTAGGCGCCGACTATAAATTATATAACATTTCCAATTAGGTATGTAAAAAAAGAAGGCCAGAATAGAGGGAAGCAAAACGAGCCTGAGAGGGAGGCCAAACGACAGGAGAGAAAGAGAGAAAGGAAGATTAGTCTCAAGTCTTGAGGTAAGCAATGTGTTTCAGTATAATGCCCTACAGACAATCATACAGTTACAATCATTAATTCTCTATGTACAAACGTCCTGATTTACATACGCAGCGCTGCTCTTCAGCTTAAAACCTCCTTAAACTTAGTATGAGATCATCGCGATGGTGCAGCTCATCTCCGAACCCGACTTCACAAAGCCTGTCTCATGAGCTGGGCGGGAAAATGAAAATCACAATATGGCTATTCAAGATGGCCTGCTTCCTCTTGCATACGTCACGCATACGTCTCAAATATCTACAACAGTGCAAATTTTCCAGACCCCCCTACACCCCTACCAGAAAGAAAACCTACTCCAACATTCAGCAAACAACATCGGCTCATACTTCAAGTCATACTAATGGAGAACGGGAACGGTGAGGATCAATTTAGATGTTGGAATAAGTGCGGTTGCCAGTGTAGTAAAAACTTGCATGTGTTATATATTTGAGCTTTCCCAAATGCAGCAGGTCTGACTAACTGGTGAAAAGGGGACAAGCCAGTGGACATACAGCAGGGGGGAATCTCTGGTAACAACCCAAGTAATTTTAGCCCATTATTCCAGATGGGAATATGCATTGAATATATGAAGAAATTCCATAAAATTTATAGGCGTTTAAAAATCAATCCAGCTCCCTATGAGTGTAAATTGATATAAGCTAGTTTAGTGCCCATTAATGGCGTATAAAAAGGTTTATTCATTTCACAACAGGTATCTCAAGACTTTTTCAGCTAATTGTTGCAATACTGTCCTGCAACAAAGGAGCTAGAACCTATTGACGTACTCGATCCGAAGACCTCTAGGAAGGCTATCTAAAGAGGACTGCACTGCTGGAGAAACAGAAGTTTGAATCTAACATTAAATATTTACTACAAAGATTTAAAACAAATAAATGTAAATGAGATAAAGGGAGAATCTAGTCTGATTAAATGAGAATGAAAAAAAAAATGAAAGAATTTTGATTAACAAGTATTGGCCATTATCATGTGGGGTTTTTTTTACTGGTGGGTGGGTTGTTTTTTATTCTATAGTCCTTTTTATTGTTGCTGCAATTCAAAGCACAAATTATTCAGAAGACGTTTCTAAGGGGAACATTTCTGTTGAAAATTTAATTGAAATTGGGTAAATTTTGTGGCAATCAGAAACATCAACTACTTTTAGATACAATTAGATTAGATTTAACTTTATTGTCATTGCACAGGTACAGGTACAAGGCAATGAAATGCAGGTAAGTTCTAACCAGAAGTGCAATAGCAGCAAGTGCAGGATAAATAATGGTTCTATAAATACAGGACATGGGTTCTACTGAATAAGTATAGAGATGAATACCATTATACAATATAAAGCTGATAGAGTGGCACACACAAATCAACTGACTTGAAACCCATTAGCATCTATGAACTGAAATCAAAGTGCATAAAAAAATGCATCCAAAACTTCTAAGTTTTGAGGTTAAAAAGAATTAGTTTCTCATTAAAGTTGTCCTCCCTGAAAGAAAGCTTTTTAACAATCCTTCATATTTACTCCTTGTTTCACTCCAATTTAAGACAAATAATAAAAAGTATGTGCTACTGGGTTTTAATGTCCCTGTATGCGTGGCTCACTTTGGTTGTTACCAGGACCTGCATGCGTTCAACACTTTGTTGCCCCGCTGTGAGGGCCCGGGCCTTCCATCACTGCCACGCTTGACCTCAATAACATGATCCTGCATCTCATCGGAAAACTTGACATGCTGACTGAGGAGGCTGAAGAAAGCTATGAAATGCATGTGCTATAGTAGTAACAGTTTTCACACTCATCGACACTAGACGGGAACCGAGACATGACATCAACAAGCTGTACGAAGAGGAGGAGGCTAAAGGATGCTACAGTACTAGAGCTACCTGAACATGCTACAGATTGAGGTTACGGCGATGGGGGGTGGTTTCTATAGCCACACAAACCAACTTCACAGAGAAACTCGACCCTCTCCAGTCCACAGGACCGCTGTAGGCAACACAGAAAATTATATATTTGCCTGATAAATACTGTCCAAGCCAACCTAATGTACCATTAAAGCGTAACGCAAGTACCGCATCTGCAGCTTGGTGCATCGAGGGAGTCTGCAAAGCTGGTGTTATTGTGTGCAGAAGAAATCAACCCCCATCTGTAGTCAGTTCCTGTCACTGCGACTCGCACGCATACACATTCGCTTGCACGAGTGCACAAACCCTGAAATTAAGAACGATTTCTATCATCATACAGCACTAGTGTTTTTGATTATCATAGAGACAGAGCAAGGATTGCATACTGTACCATACATCTCCTAGGAGAGGCACCCTTCATCAGCATCAGATCAATTAGTTCACCACATTCACACACAACCATCCACACAAGGAACATTTGTTCAAGATAAAAGAAATAAGCTAAGAATAAATACGATTACAATCACACGCTTTATAACGGAATGTTGAGAACGTTCAGATCAGACTCTTGGCTCCGTCTGGGTCTGAGCACACACACGCTAAGCATGGGCTGGCCACAGCATCAAGGAACACCAAGGTTCCTTCAAGTTCTGCTTTCAGAACTGCAAAAATCCTCTCTATGGTTTAAAGTCCTTTTAATAAAAATGCCAGAGGAGGTGCAGTGTGAGTGGAGTTTTCTCTGGCTATGGGGCTCCACACACGGTCCTGTGCACTGCCAATCAGCTGGCTAAAAGGCTACTGCACTCTCCCTTCACTCATTTAAAAAAAAAGGAGGACTGCTTGCACATATTTTCTTTTCAAGGATAAACAAATATATTCAAAAACAGAACGATGGTGCAGAAAAAAAGAGAAAGAGAGCGCCACTTGATAGCAGAGGTGGGTAGAGAACCCAGAAGTTGTACTCGAGTAAGAGAAGCACTACTTCCATCTAAGAAATGACTCTAGTAAGAGTAAAAAGGTATTTGGTAAAAAGGATACTTAATTATGGAGTAACCATAGAATTTATATTTAGATTCAACATGAAAATATATAAAGTTCTGAACAGCTTCTGGTACATTAAAAGACTAAAAATAAAATATGAATAAATAACAGTTTCAAAATTATATATCTAGGATAAAAAAAAAAAATTCCACATCATGTTTTTGTTTTTTACACAATATCATATAGATGTCTGAAATGGTGAAATATATTTGTTTTAATGGAGACTGCCACTCATTAAGCCCCTTGAGGGTTTTTCGGCAGTTGTCCATCACATTTTCTTTTTTAGTGAAACATTATTCTTTTTTTATGTTTTGTGAAAAAAAAAAAATAAATAAATAATAACAAAACTTAAAAAAACAACCTCAGGAAATAAACATTTACGGAAGGTAATTAAAACAATGAGTAGAAACAAGAATGCTAATTAATATTAGGCTAACTCTTTGTGCTAGGTGCTTTTTTTGTGTGGAACCAGCTTCTTCTTCTCTTAGTGAAGTGAAGTAGTGATAGGTAAAGTAGCCAAAAAACTAAAAAATAGGACAAAAAAAGGATAAAATTACTTCCGTTAAACCTTAAAATGTGGGTATATTTACTGCAGTAAATTACTGAGTACATACAAGTAGAAACAACCCACCTCTGCTAGACAGTATTACTAAGGTAGTCCTGTTTTAAGTTAGATAAACTGATTTTTATTTGTCAAAAAAAAAAAAAAAAAATATATGGAGCCTAACATTTATTTTTGTTTGAAGTTTTTGGTTCACAAATGATATATTTGTGGTGTTTTTCTGAAGCTAATCGTATGACGATCTCATGCCGGCCCATGCCTAACGCACATAAATCAGGCATCTTTCCAGGAGCTGCAACAAGTCATGAAAGGAGAAAACTCATGTTTTGATAAGAGATCATGTTTACCTAACCATCTGTCTGAAGTGCCTTCATACACAGCAGAGAAGTCAGAAGCAAATGGACGAGCGTCCTACTCGTAAAGGTTAAAATGGTCATCTTTAAAAAATAAGATTTAAGGTTTCCTAGTTAATCTCTTATCACCAGGACTAAACGTCCCTTCACGTTCCAGTCACCGTTTTATATTAAACCCAAAAATATACCCACCTTCAAATCAAGCCGCATTCAAATCCTACTGTATAAAGTTTCTTAGAAAAATAAGAAAAATCAAGGTCAATAAGCCATTTCTGATCCCTGATGAAAGAACTCTAAACCCTCTCTGGGTTTTTCCTATCCTCTCACTCAGCACAGGAACAAACCGAAGCGGATGGCCTTAAACTCGTTGCATCGTTTCTAATGCAAAAACAGAAGCTCCTTGATTCACTGAGAAACCCTTGAGACATGAGCGTGTACATTTTGGACGTCTAGACGAGTTTAACAATAGGAATTTGGCAGCTGTTATTTTGGCTACGACAACTAGAGAAAAGTGCAATTATTCACTTCCTTTGCTTTAATGACATCTTACATTAAAATACCTACATATACTTTAACTCTCATCATTTTATTTAGATCTTTTGTCCCAAGTTTAAAGGATATATTAAATAATCATAAATCATACATAACTGAAAAAACACTAATCTTAATCTGATCAAAGTGCAGCACCTCAGCATTGTAGGAAGAAGATCCAGATAGCAGACCTCAGATCAGCGCCTGCTGAGCGGTTTTAGCTTTGACTAAGTCATTCACACATAGATTATTAGATGTATCTCTTCATGGGGTGGACAGCTCACTCACTCTCACACACAGACTCTAATTTAGATAAGTCTGGCCTCTCCCTCCATGTCCGGCGGGAGATCACACACTCCTGTGAAGTGCAACTCCTCTGCCCTGCTTCCCTGCCCCGCCCCAGCTTTAGCCCCTCTCTCCCCCAAGCTGGGAGAGGGCTGTTGGCCCTGAGGGTCTGGCGATGTCCCACGTGGGACTCCACCTGCCTGCCTCTCTTTCAGGAAGACCTCTAGTCGGCGCAGCATCTGCTTGGGGTTCTTTTTGGCAAACAGCTCCACTTCTGTTGGTTACAAAGACAGGGAAATAATAGACTCATGTTGAGCTCTGCAGACGGACAACCAAACAAGCTTTAAAAAGGAAAAACGAGGCTTTATTTTAAAAATACTGTTGGTTATAAAACTAACGCAATTCACTAATTCCCTTAGAAATATTTAATTGAGTTTATTTATACAGCACGTCATCTCAAGCCACTTAACAAATGATACAGCCAGATTATAGTCAGTGATTCAAATATGACAGTAACTTAACTTAATAATGGAAGCAAATATTAGAGGATTTCTTTTAAAACTGTTTTTAAGCTAGAAATTTATTTTCAGGTGTTTTATTGAAAACATCTCTTTTGTCTTATTACCTTTCAGCACAAAGCCAGAGTCAGCTATTGTCTTCTGTTGGGTCTTCCACAGCTGGTACACGTGGAGAAATGCCGCGACATAAAACTCATTCAGCACCCCGACCACTTGTTGACGACGATTGCACTCCCTGGAACAAACAGAGAAAGAGAGCAAAAATACGAAACATTTATGAAACAAAAGGAAACAAAAATTTATACACTCTAAAACAATGCAATAATGGGGCCTAGTCATCTGCTATTTTACAAAAAACCCACCAAAAATCATATGTTGACGTAAAAGTGAAGCAATATACCAAACATGTTTGTCTTGATAGAATAGAAGAATAGAGAATAGAATTCAACTTTATTTAACCCATCCCCTTGGGGAGCAGTGGGCTGCCATTGTGCGGTGCTCGGGAAGCAGTGTGGGGGTTAAGGGTCTTGCTCAGAGACCCAGAGTGGCAGTCTGTGGGAGTGGGGCTTGAACTCAGAACCTCTGGCATTGACGCGCACTAGGCCTCCACTCCCCTAATAGTGTTTACTTATTCCATTTTGCGCACCAACCTGAGCTGGCAGTTATTTAAATCTCCCATCCGTTCGCTCAACATGTGTCCAACACCAACAAACTGGAGAGGACGCTCGCTGCAGAGCCATTAGCCGTGATATAGGCGGGACTGATGCAGCTTCAGTCCCAGCCATCAGTAATGTTTAGAAGGCTTGGATGGATACGACCTGCCAAGTCTGCATGCAAAGATGTACAGCTGCCGGTTCGGTGTTTGAGGACAGACCGACCAAATCATACAGCCTGGATGGAGCCATAGTAAGTTAGCATCCATAAGTTTTTGGGTAGCATAGTGGCTAATTGCTAAGCTAGTGGGAAGAATCAACACTGAAGATTAAGTAATTTTCCTCATAACTCTCTTTCCTTCATTAGTTTGTCTCCCTCTGTTCTTTGAACCACTTAAATAAATTCATCTAGTGAATCTAACATAAATGGCATTTGAAATTAAACATCCTACAACATATTCAACAAAATCAGCCCTCTGAGGTTAGATATTTAAAACATGTATATTACTATCTGACATATTTTGTAAACTAACTTTAGTGCTAATGAACATTTAGGCATAGGTAGAAAAAAAGGGTTAAACTTTGTGGAGCCATGGGACCGCCATCTTGGGAAGGTCAGCCGTTCCACTCAGTCTAATACTTTTAGGCAGGATCAATGAATTATTGGTGGATTTAATCAGTTGTAACTCTTTGAATACGAAGCTTTTAACTCTTTCTGTACAGCAAAGCCTATAAATACAGCAATCATAGCCACACGTGTGAGGAAACATGTTTCAGCGCATTCAAATATTCTTAATCGTATTAAACTGAAAATACTCATATGTGATGAATATGAATTTGCCAAAGCGCACATCCTATAATATATTAATTCATCTTTTTTATTATTTATATCTATGTAAAGAAATGTATATGTATATATACATTTCTTTACATAGATATAAATAATTGTATATGAACATACATTGAATATCGCATTTATATTACAAAGAAGCATAAATTATAAAATAATTATTAACATTGGATCATATTTATAAGCTACATAGATAAACACAGATATAAACATACAGTTATAGTGATTGAGAAGACAGACGGCTGTAGGAGAATCCATTATTATTAGCCTAATATTTTTATGGGGTGCAGCAGCATTTGGGTAACAGGTCCATCCAAACAGATTAAGCGCATCTATAGAGTTCAGTTCCCGGTTCGATGACAACTACATGGGAGTTCTTAAAAAACATTTTGTTCCTAAACACTACTGAGTCCATTTTATGATTTTAACCCTAATTAGATCTGATGTTTCCAGAGGGTTTCTTTCAATTTTTCTTGGACAATATAAAAAAAAACAGCTGTTTAGTAGGCATGACTCACTTGGACAGGGCCTCCTCTCTCAGAGCTTGCAAAGCAATGTGGGTCATGTTGATTGACATCACACAGAATGGGAAGTTCTAAGACACAAAAAAACACCATAATGATGTATTGATATAAATTATACTTACATACTGCTTAAAGCCACAATCTAATTATTCATTAGACTTTTATCCAATAAGTAAAGACCAAACAGAACAGTTGCTGATAAGTAATAATCCAGACACACTACAGATAATTTCGTTATCCAGCAGGGTAAAGTATAAACAAACAGTCAGGGACATTTACTCTGATTATTTTTTACAATTCAGAATTATATTTTTACAATTTTATTTATGATATAACTTTGAAAATTAAGTTAGTCATTTGATTAAAGTTCTTTAGGACTGTGTCCTTTGATCTGACGGCACCTGTGTAGGATGCTGCGACAGCTTGTAGATATCTCTCGCCAAAGGGAGAGTTTCTGGGTCCATCACAAAGTAGAGAGTGTGCATCAGTCCAAGAAATCCGGTTCCACGTAGATCAGTGGCTGGGTCTGTACCTGCAAAACACCCCACCAAACCACAGTTTGACATTTTAAGGTTAGGAGCCATATATGGAGCGGCCACAGAAGAGCATGACCCTAATAACTTAGCTGGCTTTAAAATAGACCTGGGCAAAAAGTCGATTCAATGAATTAATTCGAATTATTTGGTGCTGGCGATTAAAAAAATAACAAAATAAATAATTGGTGCGTTTTTGGCTTCCCAGAGTTTCTGTGGCTGCAGTATTACTCTTAGGTTGTAGTTTAGCAAGCGAAAGCGTCACACAAAACAGCAAACGATATAACTACAAGTGAGTGAGAAGTTTGTTTAAACAAAAAAAAAAAAATCTTTTGTTGTTTGGAACTGCAGGGTCCTCCGGCGTAGTGGCGGATTTCCAGTGTGCAGGAGGGGAAAATCAACTTGTCAACGTGAGCTTTATAGCAACACCAGCGATTAAGTCTAAATGCTATGATGATGTGTCTTTTGGAGATTATCAGAAGGCATCACTAGCCAAAACCAAGTTTAGTAGGAGAATGGTGGATGGGAGTGGGGGTTCAGTAACACGGGGGGGGGGGGGGGGGGGGGCGCGAGATTACCTAGACGCGGTTGTATTAGAAGAAATGGGATTGTGTTCGGTGGAGCAGTGGGTAGCACTGCTGTCTTGCAGCAAGAAGTTTCTGGGTTCGATTCCCAGCCTTTCTGCATGGTTTGCATGTTCTCCCTGAGCATGGATGGGTTCTCTCTGGGTACTCCAGCTTCCTCCCACAGTCCAAAAACACTGTTAGATTAATTGGCTTCTCTAAATTGTACTTAGGTGTGAGTGTGTGCATGAATGGTTGTTTGTCCTGTGTGTGTCTTGTGTTGCCCTGCGATGGACTGGCAACCTGTCCAGGGTGTACCCCCCCTCTCGCCCACTGACTGCTGGAGATGACCCCAATGGGGACAACCGTGTCAGATGATGGATGGATAGATGGGATTGTGTTTTGAGGTTGTGTATTGAACGGCATATTTTAAAATGTCCAGAAATGGCTACTGGTCCAGATAGCTTACAAACTAGCTGCACGGCTGCCAATTGCGCGGCGTGGTAGTGAAAATGCCCGTCTCTGCGGGATGAACAAACCTGCACTAACCAACAAACCTGAAATAAGAAACAGCCAATTGTAGCAGAATCTTTTGCTTAAAGCACGGCATATGAGCAGGGTTGCTTTGCGCATAGCCAGATACAGTGACCCTCGGCTTTTCTTAATAATTAGGGGAGAAAAAAAAATAAAAATGAGGAGAAAAACTCATAAATCAAATTAAAGATAAATAAAAAAAAAAACTATCACAAGCAAGTCATGCTATCAAATTAATTCACTGCAAAAATTCCCCAAATGATGCCATAAAATTACAATTAAATAGTTTATGAGGGTCTAACCCTGAAAGCCGATGTTTTCCCAGTGCGAACCGTAGCGAGGACAGTCCAGCCTGGTTCCAATCAGCCTTTTATTGATGGTTTGCAGGACACGCATGTGGACCGTTTGGCTGTTATCAACGGGACCTAGACACAAGCAAAGATTAACTTGGTTATCAATTAATACAATTATAAATCTTACGCCTGAAACTGGCCAACCGGACACTCACACTGGGCAATGGCAAAGACGAGATCCCTCTCCTCCAGGAGCTCCCTGTGCAGCCGCGGTGGACCAAACAGGAAATGTGCAATCGCAGCCAGACCGGTCCTGCGAATAGTTGGCTGGATGTTTTTCTACAGTGGAGGAAAAAAAAAAAAAAAACATTAAATAGCTAATAAACGGTTTACACTTAATTATTAGATCCAAGATTCAAAGCTTGGATTTTTCTCTTCCATTTGCCAGTGTTGTACAAACAGGACCGAAGCGAATCGTTAAAGTTTACGCTGATGCTGATGACTGAAAAGAAATATCAAATTTCAGCTATCGGTTTTTTTTTTTTTTTTGGAAAAACAAAAACACAAGAAAAAGACCTCAAACTATTGTTATATTACATATGAAGCTGGAGTTTGTGACACAGGCAATAAAAAGGGCTTTTCTTACCAGCAGGTCTCCGAGGTCTGTGGTCTGGAAGTACTGCAGAGCTTCATTGAAGGAGATGAGTGGGGTGGGGTTTGAGTCCTCGCTTAGAGCTGTTGGGGCATTTCAGGACATTTTGTCTTTTAGAACACAGACCCTTACAGCTACACTGGCTTCATCAGCTGTTCATCTAAATCACAAATTATTCGTGGTAAAGAATGGAGATTTTTTAAATTTAAGTGAGAGAAAAAGAAAAGAAAAGAAAGTCAGCAGGACCTTTGAGAAGAGTCTTCTGTCCATTTAGGCTCCTTTGCTACCATGTAGGCATATAGTTTCAGGATCTGACTCAAAGCTGTAATTTGGAATCTGATGTTATCAATACTAACTACAGCGTTAAAACTTTAAACCCTCAATAATTTTGTCCATGTATTAAACTGTATATAAAAGTTAGTTATACTCACCCTCACCAACTATTATATCACTTTCTAATCTGTCATGAATGCTGAAGAATTTCAGTTTATTAGGCTTCAAAGTCTGAATCAGCAAAAACTGGATTGGAGCATCACAATAACACTCTTGAGTAAATTTGATATCTCTAATCCCCAGGCCGTTCTTAATAATTGCAATCAAGCCCTTGACTAAACAATCCAGTAGGTTTGCAAGTTTACCTTGCAGGTTTCCTATACATATAAATAAAAACATATTTATAAACCTGACCTGGTTGGATGTTATCTAGAGTCTCCCACTCCTGCTTGGCCTTTTCCAACTCTGCATCCTCCGCATCCTCTAGAAAACAAAAGAAAAATCATTCATTAAAATGGTGAAAAATGATTACCCCACTGTTTTCACATTATGCTCCATAAACACATTTTCCCTGCAGCCTTCAACCAGGAGCAGCATCATCTTCATCAGCTGCTTGGTATTTATTATATACACCAATCCAGGTGTGAAGAAGTGTATGTGTGCGTTACCTGTGGGACTGGCCTTATTTCCACCAGCTGCCAGGCTCTGCAGAAGGCCATTTTGCTTTAGCGCTGAAATCTGAACAATGAACACAGGCTGCGTTACAGGATATTCTGCTAATATGTTTAGTGCCTGCTAGATGCTTACACAAGGAGCATGAATGTCAAACTCATTTTAGGCTTTGAATATTTTACAACATCTAGAGGTTTATGGCCAACCACTGATCTCTAAAAAGCCTGAAAAACTGATTACGATTTTAAGTGATACCCATTTTTGTTTTATAACTGACACTGGCTGCATTTCCATTATAACGGTGCACAGATTTATGTTGATATTCTACAAATTTCAAAAAGGCAAATTTCTGCAATTGCAGTTTTTCCACTCAATATAAAATACCCATAAAAAGAAATAAAATTGCACCTGAATACGTTAGTTGACATGATAACTCTTGAAGACAACGTGGCAGCGCTGGTGGTAAACACACGAGGTATACCGTATTTTCTGGACTAAAAGCTGCTACTTTTTTTCGCCACACTTTGAACCATACAGCTTATAAGAAGGAGCAGCTTTTCTGTGGATTTTTCCCAAACCACCACAGGGGGGGAAGTCAATGTTGGAAATGAAAGAATAAGGGGCTAATTTTTATTTAGCACAACATGCTAGCAGCAGGCACGACGGAGAACAAATGACCCGAATTCACACATTTTGATATTTATTTGATGCATTATAGCTGCCGAACCAATGAGGAGACTGGGCTCAACTTCAGCAGAGTTGAAATAAAGAGCCAACAAAGCCCCCTTTTTTAGTAGAAGCTCTTACTGCTATGAGCCAACAAGCTAATGGGAGCTAGCATTCTTCTTTGTTCCCACTCCAGGGGCTATATGTAGAGCTCACCCTACAGGTTTGGAGGTACAGTTCAGTAGATATCAGCGGCTCAAAAAATGTAATGGGCGCGGCTTGAGGTGTGCTCTATAGTCCGGAAAATATGGTACATCAATATTTCAGCCATGGCTTAAGTGCTTCATCTCGCTCCTTGTGCAAACTTAATGTAAAAAAATGATTTCCTCATGAATCCAAATATGCTGCGCCATCATCATCCAACTGCATCCAGTCTTCTTCATCTTTTTACATGGCAGTAAGGTCCAGCTACAGATCACGTGTGTCATGTGAGGCTTAAAATGCTTTTCCATTGCAGCTGTGCGAAACATTATTTTTTACATGCAATTTCAGCATTTAGTCTGAACTTCTAGCTAATTTAGAAGAGCAGTGGGACAAAAAGAAATTTATGTGACTTGGATATAATGGAGGTGAAGTTATTGGCATAGTATTCAACCATTGGTTAACATCGGTTCAGATTAAAATCTACTTTCTCCTAGTTGAAGAAATGTGACACACTACAGCTTGAACAATATCAAATAATAAAAAAAAATTTGCAGAAAACTAGGGCTAAATGCTTTTGCAAAAGAAATCTAAATTGTGATTTTTTTTCCCCAACAAGTATTACCGTAATTTTAATTAAAACCTTTGATCAAAATCCAAATAATCAACAGCATGGATATGTTTTAACTCAAGGGTTTCACTGTTTTCTTGTAGATCAAGAATCTATTGTCGCAGGACTTAACTGTGTGGAGAAGTGGTAGCCGCTACTCGTACACATGGATCTGCACACTTGTTGCAACTCCTCTCTGATTTGAAAACTGCATTCTGTTAAATTGCGATAATATCGCAAATTCAATTGAAAATATCCAGCCCTACTTAAAACCAAAGTATGCTTTAGAAAACAAGGTTAAATGGGCTTAAGTAGTAGACCATTTAACCTGGTAGTAGTTTGTTATTATAGGAGATTAAACTATATATGAGTTAGGGGACATAATCCGAGTTTCACAGTCAAATCTAAAGCCCAAATGCAATGACAATCGTGCCCATGAGAAGAAAATAATTTAAATAAAGGATTTATTACCGGCAGAGATCTGAATGATGCGCTGCCATTAGTGTGGTCTTTTCCATTGTGACCTATAACCACTCCATTAATGACCTGCATAGAAACAGCAGTTAGAAAAGTAGACTCAGAAACTGAGAAAAATCTCTTGAGCTGCATTGATTATATAGGACCAGAGAGAAGTGACTTTAGCTTACAGGCTTATAGGTGGAATGTCCATTGGTGATCTCCATTGGTTTATGCTCACGTGGCAAAACATTTAGACCCTAATAAGGACAAAAAAAAGGAAAAGTACAAAAAAACCAAAGGTAATGAAAGCAGTTCTTACATTATGATGAATGAATGAATCTTGAACTATTCAGGCCTAAAATAGTTCAGACAATGCAATAAAAATGTAACATTTACTGTTAATCATTTCTATAATGAAACTCCCTGCAGAGACAGCCGTCCGATAAGAAAGTAAGTGATCTTGGTTTTCAGAAAAGTTACCCTCACTGGCAGTGTTGCATTCATGATACAATTATCCAACTGTCTAGAAATGATGCACGACACAAGGAAGCCGAGCAGGCTGCTAGAGGTAATGTTATGGCTACAAAACCAAGTTAGGGATAAGAGAAATGCGATGTCAGCTGCCACTGCAGCAGCCTGCCAAGCAAGCAAGCCAGATCAGAGATTACAGCTAAGGCAGCAGACGATGGGCTGGGATTTCATCATGGGTGGCGACCTGCTTAAAAGTCACATTTAAATGAACTTTGAACTGTTTAAGGAGCAGAAGCTTTCTAGACACTAAATGGTGAAGAAGATTTAGGTGTTAAATTACAAAGGGATTAAAGCTTAGATTGAAAATATAAAGGGAAATTAAACACCTCTGTGTGAGATGAGACATCAGCGTTTTCTTCCATTGCACGTAATCCTGTTGAATGTTGATGATGATCCTGACAGTGGCCTCTAAAGGCTTTTGAAGTCATGAAAGAAGATGAGCTGGGGAGCCACGGCAAAGGCCAGCATGGTTTCTGTAGTGCACACCTGTAGGGAGCGAAAGTCTCTATGCTTTTCTCATTTTCTTCTCACATGCGCAGAGATCTTCATGTCAACAACCGGATTTCACAGAAACGTCACTGAGATCCATGTGTCCGGATCATCTTGTTGTTTTCTTTTAAGCAACCAAGGTTGGGGATCTTTACACGCCTTGATTGTGTAGGAATTTGTGTATGAAAGTTAACAAGATCCTCTCAAAATCAGAGTCGCAGTGTAGTGTCATGAAACCCTTCCTCTTCTCCACAGCTCAGCCCCACCACAAGCAAACAGAAGCTGCATGATGTTGCTGTTTTTCAAGCCTGGGCTCTCCCCGTCCAAGAATCTTCATGATTCTGGCGACCAGAACAAATTCAATTTGTCTAAAGCTGGGTTACTGTTTAAGCTCGGCTGCAGCAAAGAAGCCAAAACAAAAAACCTCGATGGGGGGCATTGAGAAAAGTTCTTGTTTGGCCCAACTCCAAAGCAGGAGGCCCAAAGTATCTAAAAAGTAAAAAAAAATTATAATAATACAACATTATAGTGACACAAACCTGTTAACCAAAACCAAACAATAGTAAAAGATTAGAATCAGTACTCATGGAAAGCATACACAGCTTACAATAATGGTTCAACCTGCTATGCATTTATATGGAATACAAAAATTATGCACAAGTATGCTACACCGCAAGCTTGTATGAGCTCTGAGAACAGCAACTTTTAAAGTCGTAGGGAAGTGGCTGTTCCAACTGTTGCAGTTGCAAATTCTCCTGAGTGGTGCCTGACTTTATACGAGTGAATAAAGTGAATGTGACTGGTTGATTATCAAGGGGGCATGATTGTTGTGGCAGAAGGTTCGCAAGCAAGTTTGGTTGTGGCCGGAGTCTCGGAAGCATCCAGCTAACCAGTTAGCAACTTAGTGCTAGTAGGTTCTCAATGGGAAATTACATTGGGACCAAGTAGCACTAAATTGGTGGAAATTACATTGGGACCAAGTAGCACTAAATTGGTGACTTAGAAACGACGATGTCAAGGAGCGCTATGGACAATAGAAAAATGCAAGAGGAGGAGAGTTTTGTGTCAGAAGTTGTGGATGAGTCTTCTCCGTCATCCATTTTTCATTTAGAGGAGGAAAGTGGGGGCAAAGATGTCGTGGAAGAGGACGCCAGGGCGGCAGAAGCTTGGTTTGGTGTAGAAGGCTTACAGCCGTACATGTTTGAGCCCTTGCCTCGCAACGCAGCCAGTTCTGTTAGCTCTACTCCTGCCGAAGACACAGACGTCCATCCCCGTGAACACTGGGACGGAACTCAATGGAATTGTAAAGTAAATGATTCTATATTAGCTGCGACATATGAATCAAGATACTAGGACAGAAAAAATTTGATTGACAGATGACCATTGATATACGATTGGCAGAATTTAGGTGTAAAAACTGGCCTGCATAAAATAACGAAAAAACCCCCACAGATTTTAAGACAGGATTTTTTTTAAATAGAATTTGTCTAACCTTCAGGGACAATATGGTCTGTACATTTATATACATGTTTAAGCTAGAATGATTTGAAATTCAGATAAGACTTCCCTATGACTTTAAGCAGAGCGTGCACAAAAAGAAATGGGCTTGCACATGCATTTTTTTTAAAGTGGAGAGGGCGAGTGTTTTATAAAAATTGTACGGGCATAACCATGTATCCAAGGGAAGGCTTATTAAAAGTATGCGAGAGTGTGCACGAGCCCATTTCTCCTTGTGCACGATCTGTTTAAACGGTTTTTGCATCGCTCATACAAGCTTACTTTTCAAAACAAGATTTGCAATTTTTTCATTATGTCAGACTCACCACCGGTATTATTACCATTTATTTTGATGATCCACCCGGAAAAAGAACATTCTCCACTATAACTTTAACTTTCTATGTAGATATTACACTCACCGGCCACTTTATTAGGCACACCTGTCCAACTGCTCGTTAACACTTAATTTCTAAGCAGCCAATCACATGGCGGCAACTCAGTGCATTTAGGCATGTAGAAATGGTCAAGACAATCTCCTGCAGTTCAAACTGAGCATCAGTATCGGGAAGAAAGGTGATTTGAGTGACTTTGAACGTGGCATGATTGTTGGTGCCAGAAGGGCTGGTCTGAGTATTTCAGAAACTGCTGATCTACTGGGATTTTCATGCACAACCATCTCTAGGGTTTACAGAGAATGGTCCGAAAAAGAAAAAACATCCAGTGAGCGGCAGTTCTGTGGGCGGAAATGCCTTGTTGATGCCAGAGGTCAGAGGAGAATGGCCAGACTGGTTCGAGCTGATAGAAGGGCAACAGTTACTCAAATAACCACCCGTTACAACCAAGGTGGGCAGAAGAGCATCTCTGAACGCACAGTACGTGGAACTTTGAGACAGATGGGCTACAGCAGCAGAAGACCACACCGGGTGCCACTCCTTTCAGCGAAGAAAAGGAAACTGAGGCTACAATTTGCACAAGCTCATTGAAATTGGACAATAGAAGATTGGAAAAACGTTGCCTGGTCTGATGAGTCTCGATTTCTGCTCCGACATTCGGATGGTAGGGTCAGAATTTGGCGTCTACAACATGAAAGCATGGATCCATCCTGCCTTGTATCAATGGTTCAGGCTGGTGGTGGTGGTGTCATTGTGTGGGGAATATTTTCTTGGCACTCTTTGGGCCCCTTGGTACCAATTGAGCATTGTTGCAACGCCAAAGCCTACCTGAGTATTGTTGCTGACCATGTCCATCCCTTTATGACCACAATGTACCCAACTTCTGATGGCTACTTTCAGCAGGATAATGCGCCATGCCATAAAGCTGGAATCAACTCAGACTGGATTCTAGAACATGACAATGAGTTCACTGTACTCAAATGTCCTCCACAGTCACCAGATCTCAATCCAATAGAGCATCTTTGGGATGTGGTGGAACGGGAGATTCGCATCATGGATGTGCAGCCAACAAATCTGCGGCAACTGTGTGATGCCATCATGTCAATATGGACCAAACTCCCTGAGGAATGCTTCCAGCACCTTGTTGAATCTATGCCCGAAGAATTGAGGCAGTTCTGAAGGCAAAAGGGTGTCCAACCCGTTACTAGCATGGGGTACCTAATAAAGTGGCCGGTGAGTGTATGTGTCATATATTAATGGAGCCCACTCAGAAAGCGTAATGAAGATTTTGAAAGAACCCCGAACATTTATCCCATTAAAATGTGTTATCTAAGTGTGCTAACATTAGCTAATCCTTTATTTATCCCATGATGTGGAACTTTATAGAATTAAAGCAACAGGAAAGTGCACACAATACAAACAAAATCACCTAAGAATGGAAAGATATAATAAAAGTGGTAGATTATTAACACTATTAACATTACATTATTAACACTATTATTGTTATTCCATTGCAATAATAAATAAAATCACTGAAACACTAAAGGGTCAACAGCTCTATGATACATCAAGCTTAAATATTAAAAAGTATCGGTATCGTATCGGCGATACTGACCCTGTATTTACTTAATGTATCGATTGAAAATTCCCAGTATCGCCCACCTCTATATTTTACATATCCATCATTTAAACTACACAACAAAAACTGAAACTATTAAAAACATTGTTAGGACATACAGCTCGAAAGGTAAATGCTTAATGGGGTCACTTAAAGCATCACAACAGCAAAAAAAGTTAAGATGCGTTTAGTCTTTAACTTTTTTAGATCAAAAAATTTTTTAAGACCTTATGCATAATATGTTTTAACAAAATATAAGTTATAGTTATGTAGAGGATCTGTACTTCGATAAAAAAAAATGTTTGTTGGATTATTGTAATTTTTATTCAAACAAAAGCTGAGAGCTCATGCTGAACTTTATTGAAAATTCAAAGTATTGTGGAGAGGATGGAGACAGAGGGACTCATAGAGCTGAGGTTTAGTGGTGACAGGCTCCTCCAGAGGAGGCGGGCGGGCGGCAGCTCCTACTGTCAGCTAGCAACCCGTAGCTGTAGCAACCAGAAAGCTAGCAGCCCCGCTCGCGCTGCACAAAGACGCAGCTACAGTTTTATCTCAACCCGAGAATGCAACCACTGACATCACCGACATGCAACTCCGTCCCAACTCTCTCCAAACACTCTAAACATTTCTGACAAAAATCACCTGCGCACTTAAGCAACCAGTTCCCACTAAACGTAGAGAAGAAAAGCCAGCTCCCAGGCTAACTATTTAACGAAGCTAGCTGGAGCTCTGCTGAACTGTAACGGAGATGGAGTCGATCTCCACATCTGAAGACAACGCGCTCATTACATCTACTTCAGTTTTTTTTATATCTACTAAGTAATCCCACAATATATTAAATACAAGTCCAGCCTTACTATACGACAAGAAGCATTTTAAAAGTACCTGAGTTTCTGATTGTTTCCCCCTCCAATCTCAGCTTCCCTTCCCCCGTTCAGCAGCCACAGCAATTCCAAGTGCATCCTGGGAATTGTGGTTTCCTGTCAAAGGATAGATTCATTACGTCATTGCTTTCTGGGAGCTAAGGTGGAGTGTCTATGGCAAAAACACAGAGCAACTCCTTCCCAGCGTTTTTTATGTCTTTATTTGAACAATTAAATACCTAAATTAGATCTGCGCGCCTCCCACTGTAGATTGTATTATTTTTCCTGAAGTCAAATGTGAAATTGTGATTATTTTCGCATCTTTAGGGAAAAGTTCAGCCTAAGAATCTAAGTTGATATCTTACCCTAAGTAGATAACTCTCTATGCTCTCATTTCACAGAAATCAAGATAAACTGAATAAACTGCAATCTTAACAAGGTTATAACATTTATGTCAACCCATAAGGTGTCATTTACAGTTATAAAAAAAATAGACACAACTGAGGAACAAAAGATTGGAAACAAGGGGCTCAGGCCATCTAAAAAAAACAGCAACATTTGATTTTGTAAAGCACTTTGCTTATAATAATTTAGTGATAGATATTAATTCATTATTGCAATGTATATTTTGTAAGCTTTTACATTTTTTTCATCTTTTTGTAGTTAAACACGTGAAGGCTGGAATAGAAACCTATTGTTACTGGATTTTTTATTGGTTTAAAACACCTTACATTCCTATGTTGTAATTAATCAATTATATTTCTTAAAGTGTAGAAAGGAAAATCTTTATATATATATCAGAGGTGTCAAGTAACAAAGTACAAATACTTTGTTACTGTACTTAAGCACACAACTTATTTTTCTTCCTACTTCTAACGTCTACTCATTACATTTTCACACACGTATCTATACTTTCTATTCCTTAAATTTTTAAAACAAACGTTACTCGTTACTCTTGGCTTCGGTTTAATGTTTATAATAATTTATTTCACGTCATGTGCGCCATCCAATGCAGATCATTGGCTCCATCCACATCTAGTGAAAACTAGTTTAATTGGATGAGTCATATAACGCAAACACTCATTGGTTAGCAAAAGGAAATCATCAGAAGCAAGCAGGTGTTCTTCAAACTGCAAACGTGAATTGTCTATGCCATGCTACAATGTCGGATTCAGAAAAAGATGTTGAAATGTCTGAAAGGTCGGACACAGGCGAGAGCATCAGATCAGGAGACGGAGACCAACAAGACCTCCCTCATCCTTGGCCCTATCTGAAAGAATTTTTCGAAATAGTTAAACAATTGAGCTTTCAATTCATATACTGGCATCTGGCTAGTTTTTGTATTTAAAAAAAAAAGTAACTTTATACTTTTATACTTTAAGTAGTTTTTTGTAGCACATACTTTTTCTCTTTTACTTAAGTAAAGAGGTAAAGTTGATACTTTGACTTTTACCAGAGTGTTTTTAAACTGCAGTATCTATACATCTACTTAAGTAACAGATGTGTGTACTTTTGAAACCACTGAGATATATATATATATATATATATATATATATATATATATATATATATATATATATATATATATATATATATATATATATATATATATATATATATATATATATATATATATATATATATATATATATATATATATATATATATATATATATATATATATATATATATATATATATATATATATATATATATATATATATATATATAATTTTTTTTTTTTTTCTCTATCATGTTCTATAAGCACATCTATTCGCTTTTACCAGAAAGGGGGGAAAAAAGAACCCAGAGAAATGGGGAAGAACAACATGCAAACTCCACATAGAAAAGATTCGTATGCAGAACGACAAGATTGCAGCTATAATTCAATGTATGTAAGGCTACTATGACAGATCTATATAGTTTTATATGTGTGTCTTAGAATGTGCTCACATTCGCCCTGTGACGGAAAAAAATGCAGTTTGGGCAAAAAAATGAGCAATAAGTTAATCAATGCTGGCATCAGTACCAAGGATGTAGCATGGCTGCCAGATTGCTTGTTTTGTCTTTCTGGTTTCATTGCACAGCTTCTGGAAATGATTTACCTTTTCTGCTCCAGGGTCAGAGTTTTCCCACATCTCCCCTCGCTGCAACAGAAAAGCGCTTATGATTTTATTTGAAGGGAACCCAAGCAGATGCCAATTTTTTGCCTCTGGTACCTAATCTCAAAAAGAGTCTCACGTAAACCTAACATTTATGTCTTGTTAAAAACCAGATATTCGTTGGGAACCCAATCATTTCAAAAGGTTTGTGGAAAAGTAAAATAAAAATAGCCTTTGACCCTGGTATTTCAATTCCAGTTTCAAAGAACATTTTTGAGCTGTATTGGCACAACATAATCACATAGATATGAAGTTGGATCTTGGAGAACTTTGTGAGACAGGAAGTGAGAGTCCTAAACCGTGACTCATTTTGGCTTCTGTTGTCTGCACTGCATCCAAGAAAATCATTTGTACAAAACTTCTTCAAATTGAACAAGGACACACAAATCTGGCAACATGTTACACAATGGGCAGTAATGAGGGACAGACTTCCTGTTTGGAATAAAAACCCAGAGTTACTTGATTGTGAGGAATGTTCTGCTGGCTTATATTGAACTGCAATAGAGAGCCATCAGAAAGGCCAAACACCTGCTCACTCTGGCAAACCAATGCTCTGAAAACCCATCAGTGACAAAGAAAATATTTTTGAAAATAAACTTTTGACAAGGTTTCCTTTTACCATCTTTGCATCAAAATAACGAAAACTGTAATAAATTACACATTCTGCTATGTTAAAGCTTTTATACCTCTTACATCTTTATGCACATTTTGTCATTTGACTACAAATTCTGTGACTTGTATTCATTTATTTGTACTCTATGTAAAGTAAAAGAATAACCATTTCTACATTTTTTTTATACCTACTAATTTAGGAAGTTTGACAACCATTTGATGTCAACTCCTTTTACTCTAAATACAATCCAGAGAAAACATTTTTGTTTATTTCATGGATATATATATATATATATATATTCAGGTATAATTAAATCCTTCGTTAAACCTCAAATGTTTGTTTAACAACAGAGAAGAACAAAAAGCATCACGACGACCAAAAAACAAAACAAAAAAAACACAGCATTCTATGTAAGGACAATATTTGGCAGATGTTTAAAGCTGTTATTAGGCTGTAACAATAAATCATGCTTTTAAAAGCTCACAGATGGTTGATTATTTCATCATCCACAGCAGGGAGGCAGAATCACAAATCTACAAATCTGCTCATGTTAAAAGGTGGCAAGAGAGAAGCTATTTTAGAAAGAAAGCCAATGGAAATCCTGTTTATAGGCCATGCAGATGATAGAAGGTGTTCTGTGGAGATAAAAAACAAACTGAACTTTGCAGCATTATACTGCTTATCATAACTACAACCAAATAAATGATAGCGGTAGACTCATGCTGCTGTAATGCTTTTCTTCATCAGGGACTGAGTATATTAACAGTTTTGAAAATGACGTAAATATCCTTCATATTTATCACATTGTAAATTTGTTACCCTTTTGTGTCAATATGATGCCTTTACTCACATGGCAATGTATAATGTTAAATGAGTTGTATCATAACGTATAGGCCGATGAGCTTAGCTCATGTATCGGATTCGGTACCTAATTGGATCGGAAAAAAAATGGATCAATACAGCTTTAGTTTTAATGCAACTAAAATGTAATACCACACATAAATGTGTGTCCTCTGTATGCAGTTAATATATTGTAAGCATATCCATGTCTATACTATACAGCTATAAGTGTGTATACCTGCATGATCTTATGAAATTGAGCCTAAAAACCAGAAATATGTTCAACAAGATTTTATTCCAGTTGTAATCCAAAGACAATACAATAATTTTTCAAACTTCCTCTTGAAAGCATAAATATTAGTGACACCCAGCAGTCTCTGTAATGTCACACAGCTAGGCAAAATCAATAAATAACATGCAGACATAAAAGTGCAATTTCACAACAGGGGCAAGGAAATTAATTAGGCTGATATTTAAAGAGACTCATCAGCTAGAGGGTCGTACAAATAACTCTACACATTTTTTGTAAGGAGGGGAAATGCCGTGACTGTTAAGAGCATCAAATTCTCTCCACAAATTCGGTCTTATCTAAACACTGAACAGGAGATAAGATTTAAAATAACCAGAAGCCCTGTTTAAGAGTAGCAGCTGATAACAAACTTGATTAAGACAGTGTTTCACATGTAGTGCACTCTTTGCCATTGCTTACTTTCTTTGCTTACTTTCTTAAACGTGAAGTACATTTAATGTTAAGTGCAAAAATGTTAATACATATAAGCATACACGTTTTTGATTTGAAAATCTTTTTTTTAAAGAAAACAATATTTCATAGATTTGTACTTGGCAACTATCAGCAAAAGGCAGCAATGCACATGGTGCACATATTACGGTGAAATATATTCTTTAAAATTCTTTAGCTGTAAATCTCATCAGCCATGGCGTTGTGATTATCTATTATTACTCATTATCAGTTTCATCAAAGGTGCTGAGATTTTCTCAAGATTTCAGAAATGCTCATTCTTCCAGGGATCTCATTAAAACTCCCCGGAGTGTGTACTTTTTCAGTGATTTAGATGAGAATTTGGATGAACAAAGGTTTTTTTTTCTCTCTATTGGCTCGAGAAGCATCTTGTGTCAGCAGGAGTGAGCCATCTCCATGGAAACGTTATTTGCCATCCTATTTCTGAGGTGGTTGGCAAAGTCCACCTGCGTTTGAGAGAGCACTTTGTTGATGATTGTCTTTGGGATCCAGCCCTGCAGATGACAAAGGGAAACCCGGTATTAGACAGACTCCTTTGGTGTTTAAACACATCTTTTTGCTTAAGATTTATTGTTTACCTTTAGATCCAGACTCAGTAACCAGGTAAACTTTGTCTTATTTGGGTCTTCAGCGCAGGGCCTCATCACTATACAGGTAGGCCCGTTCTCGGCTCTGCAAAATTTCACAAATTAAGCTTGTTTGTGCAGATTTGATGTTTACAAGCAGTGCATTTACACAATGTAGCTAGTATGTGATCTAACTGATTAATAATGATTAAGTTAATAACTTATTTACCTGATGACACCTTTCTGCTCTGGCATCTTTGCATGCTGAGTGGACATTCCAGCCAGGAAGCAGGTGGAGCCTCGACGTTTAGCACAGCGGACACTCACAAAGTCCCTCGGACCTACTACGTTGCCTGGCGTCTCTGCCGACACTTCATGGGTCACCATGGTGTCCTGCCCAATCTTTTGAAGAATCTGGAATATACCAGTTTGAAATGTCACCAACACTATTAAGTTTAAGGCCTGTACTTTGGATGTTTTTGGATTAAACCCCAGGAATGATCGATCGTACTTTGACTTGTTTGACGTTAGGGTTCCACTCTCCCATTTGCTCCATTTTTTCCACCAGCTCTTCATAAAGGTTGTCAGGACGTTGCTCCAGCACCACTTCAAGTTTGAACACCTTCCCAATGTCTGGCAAGACTTTGCTGAGAACCTTATCTCCGTTTGCCTGCAGGATTGTGGGAAGAGATTTGTCAATTGACCCATATTGCTTATCACATCCAAATTAAATCTGAACTTCAGTGGGATGTTCTTTTGCTCTGCTTTGCCATTTTACTTACAGCTACGGTTTCCACAGTCCAACCTTCCTGCTCGCTGAGGATGCTGATGGCTTTTTTCAGCGCATCCTCACCTTGCTTCACATATGACATCTCTTCCTCATTGTACCCCTCCTCCTCCTGAATCCGAGAACCTTAAAAAAAGAGGATTTTAGTTGACTACACATCACAATATACTAAAACTCTATAAATGTTTGGATTGTCATTGCCATTCAGGCATGAATAAGTCTGCTATGTCCAAAAAAAGCTACACATATTGAAACAATGCATATCTTAAAAAGGCACTTAAATCTCATATATCTATTGCACAAAACCTGAAGAATAGTGTGTTGAAGCCACCTTATTATTTCTTACATACTTGTTATCTTTTTTACAGTTCTTTCTATGATGTGGGACTGAGACTTTTATTAAATTTATTGTTCTTTGAGCATGGCACTTGAAGAACCTGTGATAATGTATTCTTAAGGACAACAAGAAAATCATTTTAAAGTTTTTGTTTATAAAATCTCTTGCTGTTATTTTTTTTTTTTACAACAATACATGGAGTTGTCTGAGTGTTGGAAGGTAGTACTATTTATCCAAGGCCCACTGTGACGAGAGAACCTCATTGTGAGTAAAATTTCATTTTGTGTTGTGTTCTAATAAATTAATCAGTTGATTTCACCTGGAACAAACTGAATTTCTATACAATGGAGTTTTCTTTTAAAAGGCCAATTCTCTTTAAGACGATAGACAATTGGTGGATGGAGAGATCTGACTGCTAGAAGAGCAGGAGGAGGGAAAAACTAACTTCCATAAAGTAAGCTATAATATTAAAGTTACAGAAAAAAAAAATAATGAGAGGAAGAGTAAAATAAAAATAGGGGAAGCAGCTTTTGGTACATTTTTTTTGACATGTGTGAGCCATAACTAAACTAAAACATTAGCGACGTCATTAACAACAGTTTGGAGTAAAGGCTGTATGAAGGACTAAGGCTGCACTTTCTATGACAATAGTTAAAACACCATCATGAATTTTCCACTGAAAGCCTCTTGATATCATGGTAAAAACAGTTTAGATCTATATTTATACCATGTAACATTTGAATATGTGAGTATCAGCTTAGCCTATAGCACTTTTTCCAATAAAAAGCCAGTTGATGAGAAATTAACTTTTTAGACCTTATCAGGGACTTCATGCACATAAGGGACTCGCCAGTGAAAATTCAGTGGAGCATTAACACAATTATTTTAACCACTTTTTAAAAAAGAAATATTTTTTCAATATATATACGAGGACATATTTTGCCTGTTTAGAAATACAAGTAAAAATAATATTGTGTTGTTATCTAACTTTTAGCTGTATTTTTTAAGTATAGTATTTTAACTGGCATCATACTATCTTATCTTTGGTTTGTATTATAAGAAAATATTTTTGTGAGAGAAATTGACGAAACGTGAAGTCCCACCAAAGTGGTAAATATACTGACAATTTATAACAATAAAGGTCTGTCTTGAATTTCACAGTTGGTATATCTCCGAGATTAGTCTGAATAAATCAATTTGGAATAAAACAAAAATAAAACAACTCACTTAGTAGAGAGCTTCGTCGGCGGACTTGGCTGATCCAGTTACTGGGGCCTGGACCTGCCAGCCTGTTCAGCTCTTGATGGATGGCTGCCAGGGCATTTCTCCTTAGACCTGGATAGCAATAGATTGTGACATTTGCAGATGAAACTCCAAGTAAAAAGAAGCATGAACTTTTCAATATTTCTTCATTTGTTTTCTGTCGCTCTGATCCCAGTCTCCCTGAAGACCTCAGATGGAAATAATTTGGATTTAAAAATGAAGTTAAACGGGAGGGATAGAAGTAGGTCAAGGCAGCAGTGCTGATTGTCTCTCTGATGAGATCCATTCACTCACCTGTCATGTTCCTCATGTGTCGATAGGAGATGCCAGCACACAGTTTAAAAGTTGCAGGCAGCATTTTGCTTTGTATGAATTACTGGTACAAAAAAATGTAAAAACAAAAATTGGAAAACTGAAATACAAGCTGCTAAGATAAACGTTAAAGTATATCTGAGGGGTAACAGTGTAGAGTGGAAGGTACTGCTGCAGAGGATTCAAGTTTATCTGTGGGATGTTTCAGAGCTCTTGTATAAATAGGAGCCCCCCCACAAGGCCACCTTCATATCACTAGATAGATAAACAGGAGAACCAACTAACTGTTCCAACGACCATGTCATCAAGGCCACTTCGTGGACATGACAAGCATTTCTCAGAGTCTCACAAACTCTGTGTGAGATAACGTCCAGTGCCCGTTTTTTTGCACACAAACAAACACTCAACAGGAGAGAGTGCCTTCCCTGTGTGATGGGAGCATCCAGAAGAGAGAGGTCAGTGGAGCAGACCCTGAATGACTCATCCATCCAGACTCGTGGTCCATGACCCCATAATCACTGTGGAACTCAAGGGCAATGGTGTTTCTCTTAGTTTGGCTCATTTCTCCCCCAAATGATTGATACCTCAGAATAAGTCTGGCAAATCTTCAATGTCAGTACAAGAATTAACACGTCAGCAACTCGAATATTCTGACCGGGTTCCTGAAGTTTCTAGATTATTTTTTTTCATATAAAAAAAAAAATCATAGACTGGGATATTTACATACAATAAATTTTTTACAGACAGAAATGTTTTTAAGCATATATTTTCAACATTTGTCACAGTTAAAAAGCTAATTTTGGTAAACAAAAATAAGAAACACAAAAGACTGTTCCAATCCATTAGCACCACTTATACAAAAGGAATCTCTTTATCTAATTCACCAGAATTTGCATATAACTTCATATTTTGTTCATGATTTTATAAAATATTAAATCAGTTGTTATGATCATGGTTTGTAAGTAGATCAGTACTTGAGCAGCCTTTTTACCAAATACTTTTTTTACTCTTACTTTAGTACTTTCTTTAAGGCTACTTTTTTTTCTTTAGCTTAAGTAAAAAATGATGAAGCAGTGTTACTCTTTCCACCTCTTATTCTCATACTGGTGGAAACAAATAGCTTTCTTAGTTGCATATTGTCTAAATCTCATTGGCTGATTTGGCGAGTAGTTTCTTATGACTCTTTGAGAATAATTTCAAACAACAGTGGTTGTGAAAACGAAAAAAAATTTCCTGGCAACAATATCAAACAACTAGTTTTCATGGAGAAAGTATCTAATAAAGAGGAACCCCAGAAATGCACAAGGTCAGGGATATCTGATTAGATTAAGACAGACTTACATACAATAGCATATCGTTAAATTGTTGCAGCTCAGTGTCTTAGCCAGAACATTTTTATAAGGGTGGCAAAAAGCAGACAGGCGGCAGAACCTCAGGGTTAATCTACACTTTCCAACTGGAAAAGGAACAAGCACATCATCCGTATTTTCCGAATAAAGACTAACTCGATTTTTCCAAAACCCTTACTAATAAATAAACATATATTTACACATCCATGCTGTCTAAACTAAAGGTATAGTGAATCAATCTTCCTTCAGCTTTGAGTTCTGGGGTGAATCTCTTGTTATTCCTTACCTGCCATTCTGGAAAAAATGTCCAACCTATTTTTATCAATAATTGTTGTTCATAATATTAATGTTTATATATATGCTAATATCCACATTAAATGGATTTAGATGTTATCTCCAATTACACTGAAAGCTCTTGGATGACTGCATAACTTTTTCTTCTCCATGAAAAAACAGAAAAACTAGTTCTGAAAAGAGCATGAATCAATATTTATCATCTTTGATTTAAAATTTTGATATGAGTGATGAGCTACTGTATTTTTGTTGTCTGTTTAATGTTAATATACAAACAGTTAACATGTCAAATTCCGCTTTATAGTACCGTATACTGCTGCCACCCTCAGTTTTAGAGGCTTGTGAATTATGGCCACATGGGATCACCTGGTAGGGGCGGCCATAAGGCGGCCATGGCCATCCCTGGCCCCCTTCTAGCTCCTCCCCTGCTGCAGCTTAAATTAATTTATGAAGGAGCTATTAGTGGCACAAAAACTGGTACCTTTGAATAAATAGACTTTTATTAAAGTCAGTAGTTATTCTTTTATTCCTCTGGTAGAGATTTATAATTTATAATAGGTATAGTGGAGTTTTTTTTCAAATTTTTGAACTGCCCTCTCCACTTTTAAAAAGAAATGTACATGCTCGACACTGTACCCACTCCTGAGACGGAACGCTTATTAAATGGCCTGTACTTATACAGCGCTTTTTTAAGTCAGGAAACTTCAAAGCACTTTACACTACATTCAGTCATTCACTCACACACTGATGGTGGCAAGCTACACTATAGCCACAGCTGCCCTGGGGCTCACTGACAGAAGCGAGGCTGCCGTACACTGGCGGCACTGGGCCCTCTGGTCACCATCAGTAGGCAATGCAGGTGAAGTGTCTTGCCCAAGGACACAACAACATGGAAAGCCGGAGCCTGCGCTTGAACCGTCAACCTTCAATTTCAGGGCAAACTCCTACTGTACATCCAACGCCACTGTCACCCCATATAGCCACCTTAAATTTTAATCCTTCGATTAAACAGGTGCGAGAGCATGCAGGAGCCAATTTCTCCTTGTGCACGCTCTGTTTAAAAGTCACTGTTTGCATCGCCCATAAAAGCTTACTTTCCAAAAGAAGATATACAATTTCTCCACTATTTCAGACTCTCCACTGGTAAGTGAAAATGGGGACGAGCAGGTAGGACGGCCTTATGTGAACATATCATCAAAATGATTGACAATTATAAGGGGCAATTATTTTGATGATCCACACAGAAAAAGAACATCCTCCACTATACCTTTAAAGAAAAAGTTATTTCTCCAGAGTATATAAAATGATTTTAGGGCCCTATGCTTAGCACTGTCTACTTTTACTTTTATTACAAAAAGATGATTCAATTCAACAGTGTAATCCTATTTTCACATTCTAACAAAAAATAACAACACAATATGATGGAAAAGAGTAGAAAATGAATCATAGGCCTAAAATATATAAATATTCTACATTGCATCATAGGAGACAAAAAACTAAATATTATACTAGTGTTAAGATTAACTGAAAATCCACACGCTTTAATATTTTTTTTTACATTTGAACTTTTTTTGTATGTTATTAATATGTTTGTTTTACCCTCCCAAGGGGGTGATTTATTACATCACCTAAGTTTGGGAATAACACATTATATCAAACTGTGTTCATGTTTTAAAAACCTTGCTTGCTTCACCCAATACAAACACAAATTATCTTAGAGTAATATTTTCTCGACGGGCTGCACGTCAAGAAAGCCGCCAGAGGCAACAGCTCAGGCGATTAGAGGCCTGGAAACTTGTGAAAATGGAAACAGCTCCTCTGATTAGGGTCGGAACAAGTGCAGAGAAAAAAAAGAGGTGATTAATAAATCCTTGGTGACAGTAACAGAGATATTATTTAGCCACCTTAAATAACCTTAAATAACCCTTCCACCTTCTGGTTGGGTTTCCTCATAGTAGGCCTAAGACTGGCCGATCATTCACTCAGGTACAGTGGAAAAATTCATGCATCTGTTATTTCTAAAGGACAAATAATGAAAAGAGAAACTGGATTATATTCCTGATAAAAGGAGTCTTTTTTCTGGCAATAATTGATTTTTCTTTTAATTTATGAAGTGAATTTGAACCTGTGACATATAAAAGCTAATTCAACTTTTTTGTCCAGGGTTAGGAGTTTTTGTGCTTATTTAAGCTTTTATTTTCCTAATCAAAAGATCAGATTTTCTTTGATGGTTTCAATTATTTTTTGTGATGATTCTGATGTTTTTAATGCTTTTACTGCAAATATGTCCTGATGTTTTGTGAGGTAAAGCAGTTTGACTTAACTTGCAGCTGAAATGTGCCATACAAATACAGAGCTGTCAACTCTCACCCAATGGGAGTGAGACTCACCCATCTCAGTGTCTTCACACGCTCTCACTCCATATCCCCAATTTCTGATACTAAAAAATGACAGAAATTAAAACTAAATTCCTTTCCACTTATTTATATATAAAGATACCATGGTGATTAAAATCCAGTCCGTGTTTTTAATACAACCTTAGTGCTAAAACATAAGGACTTGCGAGGTTCATATCCAGTCCATATTCCCACCTATTCACTGTGCCAGATATTGAAAACAGACAGTTGTTATGAGGTATGTCATTTTAATTTTTTATCTTATCTCAGCTGGACTAGGATAATTCTCTTTGTAAATTATTGAAGATTTTAAGCAATCTAGTACTTTATTTAGCATTTTATTTTTCAAAAGGTCAGCCACCCAAGAAAAGACAAACCACACTCAGAGAGGTTGTGCAGAACAACTCATTTATCAAGGATTCATGGAGGAGAAACCACAGGGATGTTCTTATTTACTTATCACATTCATTTATTTTTATAAAAAAAAAACTTAATTTCCATCACACCGTTCAAATAGAAACAGCCGTCGCCTCTTTGGAAACTCAGGAAGGAGCAATCAGCTAAGTGAGCTTAGTGATTCCTTTTGAGACAGCATGAAAAGTGAGCTAAGTACAAAACAAAGAGAGGAAAACAACAAGAAAAGGAACAAGAAGAGAAGGACAAAACGTAGAACAAATAATGTATGTCTATTCTATTAACATCTCTATATCTCTATAATGGGTCTGTTTTGTATTGTCTTCTTAACTCAGAAGGCCCCATACCTGTTTTTTCCTAGGGCCCAAAATTTCCTAAATCCGCCCCTGGACTAAATATGTTACAAACACCTAAGTCTGACAAAAGGTTATTTTGAATTGTTTACTACTCTAAGTAGTGATATGATGATAAGAAAAAAGTAGCAAAGGATCATTTCAGGTGTGTTGCTAACCTTTCATAATAGTTTTTCACCCTTTTTTAAGATAATTTTGTATCAGGTATTACTAAAAGAAACATCAAATATAGGCAGAAAGTAGAATTTTTCCAATATTTAGGTTTTAATTTGGAAAGACAGATACCCTCTGCACCCGTTTCTAGCAGGACTTAGAAAATAACTACAATAAGGCAAAGTTAGAAAAAGAACAAAACTTTTCTTTCATTCTGCTGGGTGTAGCTGAACATGTTTAACAGCATGGGCAGTTCTAGACAGGGGCCAGTGGGGGCCAGTGTGTCACAGTTGGGTGGAGGTTTTTGAGGACCCAAATGCAGAGACCAGGAGGCGGAGGTGAGTCTTGCAGGTTTAATGAGGCAAAAATCCAAAATAACAGATACAGAAAGCCAGGATCTAGGGGACATCAAGGAAAACACACATGAGGAGCCAGGGAAAGATGAGGAATCAGCACTTTGGAACTGCATAGGAAGAGTATATATAGGAGACAGAACAAAGGCTGGACTAATGAGCTGACAAGGAACAGGTGTGGATGCAAGTGTCTAGACTCTAGAAGGAAGCAAAGGGGAAAGAAAACAAACACAAGATGGCCACAGAGAGTAATTCAAGAAATACAAAAGCACTCAAAAATAAAACCAGAAAAGAACTAGAATAACACAAAATGGAAATTAAACGAATAAACTAGAAAACACAGAAAGACAAGAATAAAAAGTATAAACTGAAAACACAAAGAGAAAACTCAAACAGAACCAAAAAGTGCAGAGTCACGACACAGTGGCCCTTTTGAACTGTTCCTGACCCCTGTACTGAAGACACAATACAAGATAAACTGATAAGAAATTATTAATATGTGCTGGACCAGAAACTACAACCGATAGGTCCTTTAAACCAATTGATTTTTTTTATTTTTAGTTTTATTTTATTAATGAGATACAAATTACGTTTTTGTACTTTCAGCTTTAGGTTTCTAGTACTGGAAATTGCCATTTGGCTCACTTAATATATCAAATGTTGAATTATCTTTGTTTTGATCTTTTGTTTGGTGCCCCCATGTAAATCTATGGCCCCAGCCCACCCCCCTGATAAGTCTGGCCTAGAAACACCACTTTTTAACAGACAGTTAAAAACATGAGGCCAATGTCCTAAAACACACGGGCATATTTGAATTTCAACAGAGCCATCAGCGGAAATAAAGAGCCAGACACACAGTTGAGTATTCAAACTATTATACAGTTTATTAGGACTTGATTGACACAGTGGGTTTGGCTTTCACATGCACTCAGCACTTTGCTGTACATCACATTAAGAAGGAAAATTCCCTCATTGACTCCCTACGCTCCATCTTTCCCCCTCCTTCCCTTCCCTTCCAACAAACTGTGTAAGTCTATGTGTATTTGTGTTCCCCAGCGAAGCAAAACAGAGCATGACAGTCAGATCATAAACAAAGTGCTGATGTCTGTGTGGGTATTGTCTGGAAATCATGCTAACAAGGAGGCACTTCAGTCTGATTCAGATTCTTTTTTTTTTTTTTTTTTGCACGTCAAAAACGCAGATTAGGGGACAAAAAGATAGGAGGGTTGTGTGAGATTAATAAGGAAAAATAAAATTACTGCATGGAATAGCTTTCAGCAGCTTAAAATGGGGGAATATACCACATTCTTAAAAACCTCGCCAAAGAGCCTGCACTCTTCCTCCCTTTAGTTGGCTCTGCTGCTGCGAGAAGGCCACTTCTTTATGTGGAGACTCTCCGGTGTCTTCCTCTCCTTCTCCCCAGCTCTGATGCAAAGGAGCAAGGCTGATTAAAGAAGATTCAGATAGGGTAAACCTTTCAGGTAGCTCTCGATACACTGTGTCTTGGGGTTACAGTTTGACACAAAACAAGAGGAAGACCCTTTAGATTTGTGAGGCAGTTTGAAGAGCACACTGAGGGTTAAGTGTAAACGGGCAAAATATATATATATATATTTATATATATAAAAAAACTGTACATGAGACAGCAATGGTTATGCAGCAATATTGTTTACATGGAATAGGCCTAGGGAGAACAAGAAGAACACTTTTCAGTCTTGGGTGTAGAAAAAACAAGCGGCATGTGACAATATCAATACAAGAATGTGCCTTAATGATCAGAGGTAAAACATTTTCATTTGCTAACAAAACAGCATGACATTATTTTAAATTGTGCAACTTGTAAGTCATGCTGAGTGCATGTGTTCCTCTCCACTCCATGGGGGACTGTGCAGATAACTACCCAAAAAAGAAAAGGAAGGAAAAAAAGAGATATCTGTTTCTGTACAGCATATTAATTAGTTCTCAAACTCCACATAATGCCAAATATAAAGTGACACTGTAAACCGAGGGAAACGGATTTGTGTATAAGAGTGCAGAGTAAGTGGAATGAGGTATGCAGAAGCGAAGGGATACAGCTGTCCATACTTACACGGGTTCATGCAATGAAAACACAACACGATTCTTTGTGTGTTTGTCTACAGTGCCTTGCAAAAATATTCATTCGTTTCACGTTTCAATCCCAAACTTGAATCTGGGGCTCTGTGTGACAGAGCACAAAATAACAGATTTTAAAAAGTGTGAGAAAAATGATAATGTGGTTTCGAACTTTTCTTTTACAAATAACAAAAAAAAAAAAAAAAAAAAAAAAAAAGGCACGCATTTGTATTCAGCCCCTTTTTACACTGGTACCTCTTAATAAGATGCAGTAATTGATAAAAAGAGTCCATCTTTTTGAACGTAAACTCAGTTTAAATGCAAGTTTTGTAAAGGCCTCTGAGGTTTATTAGATAAAAATGTTAAAACAAAAAAACAAATACAGAAGTGAATCAGTTTGAAATTGTAAAATTATCCCAGCTTTGAACACCACACTGCTCAATCCATCCACTTAACATGAACAGTGTGGTAAACTGCAAACTTGTGAAGATGCTCTTAAAAATAACTAACAGGATACTAAGGAACTAAGTCTGGAGGAGCTGCAGAGATCCAAGGCTGTCCATCAGCAGACTGAGGGCCCATTTAGAGATTTGGTAAAGATCTTCAGGAGAACCAGCAAACTAAAAATAGACCATTGATTCATTATCGCATTCACCAGCTATGCCTTGACTTTACATGAAGCACACGCCTCCCCGCTCCCCCCATGTTCTATTCATTTTTAATGGGTTTGATTAGTTTATAGATGTTTTTTGTGGGTTTAAGATTTGTTACCATATTGTAAATTTTTTTTATGATGTACATAAAGAAAGAAAAAGGCATATCGGCTTAAAAAACACCCCGTAATTATCAGCAGCACATATTAGGATCGGTTAGGTTTCATGTTTCCAACATTATTTAGCTTCTAACCCATCAAATGACACCTGTCCACTCATGATCTAGGATAATAGATTAATACATAAACATTTTAAGAAAATAAATTGAACCATGGTTGTAATAATATTAAAAAGAACATCATCCGCTTAAGTGGTTGAAGTTTTTTTAGTTCTTAAGTGATTCTTTATAATCTTGAGGCACTTTAACAGAAATGTTTATTGTGAAGTTACATTTCTCTAATGGATTTCAAGACCTCACTCTGGTTGATGGAGGGCCCCAAGTGGGTTATGGCCCTAACTTTGGGATTCAATAGTTCAGACTGATGTCAAATAATCAGCATGGGCCTTTAAAAAAACATGTATTGGTCAATCTCTACAGGAAATGTTTAAGTTTTGACGGGCAGATGAAACAAAACATGAACCTTAAGCTCTAAAAATGCATATTTAGGCCTTAATCTTTCTAGAGATCTGACCACTTTACCTTCTTCTGTTAATTTATAACACTCTAAGATAACTATATTTGGAAAATGATTATACATATCTATATCTATATACTCTATATCTATATTATTAGTCTTGTCATATTTAATTATTCTCATTACTAGCTCCAACTCAGAACCTCGTCTTCCTTTTCCATCCATCCTGCCCCTCTAAGCTGCCCCTAGCACACAGAATTTAGTTAAATAGAGTGGTCCAAAGAAATTTGCACCCATTATCACCATACCTGTCAAGTTTTGGAGGTAAAAACGTGGACATTTTGTGGCTCTCAACATCTGCTGTGAGTCAGACTACCCCAGTCACGCTTCAGTATCAATTATATTTTAAGACATGTGTACAAGAAATCTAAAATAAACACTTGTCAACCAATTTCAAACTTCGATAAGGTGATAAGATTTTGACTTGCAATCCTAGCGACAGTTACATTTGGAGACAGATTTTTTAGTATAATACGGGAAGTATACAGGAGACTGCTAACATGGGAGAACGGCAGGAAAGAGGGGGGAAATACGGTGGTTTCCTGACCAAAATGGGAGAGGAGACAGCTATGGCTATCACTTCACATTACCCTTTAACCAACATCCCAGAACTGTCAAGGGCAGAGTTAATGAGAATATGAGTGGAGTTTAATACAGAGCAGGTCTGGAAAAAAACAGTGGACTTGACAGGGATCCTAAAAAAGAACCAGAGCTACGATGGAATGGTTTAGATCAAAACAGATATGTGAGAGAATGGCCTAGTTAAAGTCATTAATACAATAAAAAATCTTTGGCAAAAAAAAGCTATTCAAAAACATATAGATGGGTTCTGATTATATATCAAAAATTAAAAGTATTATTCGGAATAGACACAAAGTGTTTAAAAAAAAAGGAGGTCTCACAAAGTATTTACTGATGGACTGAATACAAATGCTTGCCACACTTTTTAGATTTTTCAGTTCTAAATGAATAAAAACAAAACAAAACAAAAACGTTTGTAACGTGATAAATTATGATGTTCAAGAGGTATGAATAATTTTGGAAAGCACTGTGCTATGTGTCTGTGTGTGTGTGTGGGGGGGTGCTTTAAGCTCTATGATATGTCTGCAGGTTCATATTTAAAGAAAACTCTAAAATGGATCCCACATTCTGATCCTTCTGTAGTTCTACACAACAGCTAAAGACCTTCCAAAAACCAACAGTTGAACATGACAACAGAATCACAAAACTAGAATTGCAATCTTTGGCCTGAATGAACGCAAAGGCAATGTACAATGTGTTACTGAGGTTGCTATGGTGACATGCTCTGAATGTTTAGGAGAGATCTGAGGTATGAAAGGTGAAATATGGAGAAAGAATAAGTTAAGAGTTGTGCAGATGGTGACACGTAAAGGGGGAGGTGGGGGGTGGATGAAAGAGATGTTGATACAGGATACAGGCCAGAAAGTACATGACTGAAATGACAGGAAAAAAAAAAAATTCTCTCTTTTTTTGAGAAACAAATTTCACTGACCCCAGACCCCGCCCCCCCTCCCCTATTCCCTGTGGTGGTCTTTATTATACAGTGAATCCCCTGAATATCGGCTTGTCATCTATCCTCTTCCGGTACAAGAACAACAACATTGGCTCTTTTCTATAGTCCAACAATCCTGAGGGAAAATAAAGTTTGTCTGAATATTTCCACACATCTCCACAACATCGAGCGTCCTACTACTAATGCCCAGAATCTCAGGGCCAGGTCAATCCACCCCCCTTGTGCCCTCCCCTCCCTTCCCTACCCGTGGGCCGACCATTTAAGCTTTTAGACAGGCTGTCTCCAGCTGCTGCTCAGGCCTTCAGCTGCGGACCAATCAGCAACAGGAAAGCTCTTCCGAGCTCCTTCCCTTCTTGTGAGTGTTTGCGGGTTAAGTAGCTCAAACTCTGTCACTGTGCCGTTAGGGGGCAGAGTTGGACATGGAGTCTACAGAATTTACACTGGAAGACTGCACACGGCTGTTGGAGATGGACACATCTGGGTGCTGTTGTGAATTAAAGAGGGAGATAGAGGGAGGTGCATGGGTTAATTTTTATTTAGCACGCCTGGATCATCAGTGTATGTGTGTGTTTGCATCTGCTTACATGCCTCCTGAAGATCCTGTCCAGCAGGCTGCGTCTGGGTGGCTCCGGCGGCTGATTCCAGTCCAGATCTGGAGGTCTTGTTCCTTGAGGCCCAAACACATTCAGATCTCTGAAACACTCTGTTTCAATCATCTAAAGGATGAAATAGAAAATAAGTAAAGTTAACACTGGTTGATCGAAAAGTGAGCGGAGCATTTAGGAATTTCTTGCTCACCTCGTTTTGCCACGGGATGGGAACACTGCCTGTAGCAAATTTGGAGTAGAAGTCATTGTCAGTTTGGTCCAAATTTACTCCCTTGACAGTGGAGAACTGCTCTATGTCCAAAACATCCTTACAGTACACTGCCCGAGGCTGGGAGAGGGCAATGACCGGAGGGGACAGATAGGGTTGAGGAGAAAATGAACAGAAGCGTTTATTTAAACAGAAAGTGTAACACTGATCCAAACAAACCAAAATAACCGACCACTCACATCAGGCAAAAAGGGAGGATCTACTATTCCAGCCTCCATTCGCTTGAAATTGATGTTTTTGAAGAACGTGTGAGCCTTGATGCCTGCTGCTCCGTCCGCATTGCACCCCAGCCTCTGCTTGGGGTCTTTGGTGAGCAGCTGGTCGGGCAGAAGCCGAGAGATGAGTCACTCGGGTTATTTATTATTTATTTACCTCTTTCTGTCCGTACACTCAGCTTTCCATCCAGTCTCACCAATCTGCAGATCGTCTTTGTGTCCTCTGTAAACTTGTCGTTGTACTCCTCCTCTTCCTCCTGCACCCTTCTCTCCACTTCGTCACGCTTTACTCTCTCTTTCCGGGCACGGAAGGGCGATCTTCCTGCGGTCATCTCGTAAACGAGGCAACCCAGCCCCCACCAGTCTGGACTCATGGCATATTTTTCATTGTTGATCACCTCTGGAGCTGGAAAAAAAAGAACCTATTAAAAATGACGGTAAAGAGTTATCTATGTGTATTTAAATCTTACTATGTAAATATAATTATCGATGATACTTAAACCATAATAACATTAGCTTATTTATTTTGTGAATTAATTCTACACTATATGTTCATAAGAAATAATAATAATGTTTAATGTTTAATTGCTTTTAATAACTTGTACTATTAAAAGTACAAGGAGTATGTAGTCGGGGGCCCTTTATTAGGGGCCATCCGTTCTCTGTACAAGCGGAGCAGGAGCCTGGTTCGCATTGCCGGCATTAAGTCGGACCTGTTCCCGGTGCATCTTGGACTCCGACAGGGCTGCCCTCTGTCACCGGTCCTGTTCATAACTTTTATGGACAGGATTTCTAGGCGCAGCCAAGGACCAGAGGGGGTCTGGCTCGGGGACCAGCGGATCTCGTCCCTGCTTTTTGCGGATGATGTAGTTCTGCTGGCTCCCTCCTGCCAAGACCTACAGCGTGCGCTGGGGCGGTTCGCAGCCGAGTGTGAAGCGGCCGGGATGAGAATCAGCTCCTCCAAGTCCAAGGCCATGGTTCTCGACCGGAAAAAGGTGGCTTGTCCCCTTCAGGTTGGAGGAGAGTCCTTGCCTCAAGTGGAGGAGTTCAAGTATCTTGGGGTCCTGTTCACGAGTGAGGGAAGAATGGAGCGGGAGATCGATAGACGGATCGGTGCGGCTGCTGCAATAATGCGGACGCTGCACCGGTCTGTCGTGGTGAAGAGAGAGCTGAGCGAAAAGGCAAAGCTCTCAATTTACCGTTCGGTCTACGTTCCTACCCTCACCTATGGTCATGAAATTTGGATCATGACCGAAAGAACGAGATCCCGGATACAAGCGGCTGAAATGAGCTTTCTCCGCAGGGTGGCTGGGCTCTCCCTTAGAGATAGGGTGAGGAGCTCGGTCATTCGGGAGAGGCTCAGTGTAGAGCCGGTTCTCCTCCACATCGAGAGGAGTCAGTTGAGGTGGCTCGGACATCTTCTTCGGATGCCCCCTGGACGCCTCCCTCGGGAGGTGTTCCAGGCACGTCCCACTGGGAGGAGGCCCAGGGGACGACCCAGGACACGCTGGAGAGACTATGTCTCTCGGCTGGCCTGGGAGCGCCTAGGGCTTCCCCCAGCAGAGCTGGAGGAGGTGTCTGCGGAGAGGGAAGTCTGGGAGTCTCTGCTTAGTCTGCTGCCCCCGCGACCCGGTTCCGGATAAAGCGGGAGACGACGAGTACGAGTACGAGAACTTGTACTATTCTCATTTATTATAAGTGCTTTTATTATGAATATGTTTAAAAACTTTGCAAAACTGTTTTAAGAATTGTGGTTGAAAAGGTTCCCATTGTAGATGTTTATGTGAAGCATAAACATTAACATCGCCTTTTACAGCTGCTTTTTGTATCTCTGCTTCTGTCTCCTTGAACCCCAGTGGGCCTCAGGAGATGGCCGCTCACACTGAGCCTGGTTCTGCTGGAGGTTTCTTCCTGTTAAAAGGGAGTTTTTCCTCTCCACTGTCGCTACAAGCATGCTTAGTGTGAGGGATTGCATTCGAGTCAATGCAATCAACTTTGAATCAATTTCACTGTATGATCTGGTTGAACTGTAAAGTGCCTTGAGATGACTTGTGTTGTGAATTGGCGCTATAGAAATAAACTGAATTGAATTGAATTAAATTGGTAGCTAATGAGCAGAAGATAGCAGCTGTAGCTGTCAGGGAAAAAAAGCTATGTTTAACCTTGTTATAATTTTTTTATTTTATTCAAGTAATATCTAAGACCAAATCACAAGCAAATTGTATTGTTTTTCCAAAATCAAATGAACAAAATGATCTTAATAATAAATTGAATTCCACCAGGTCTAGCTGAGTAAAAACTGCATTAATTTAGCTGTTAAACTTAGTTTCCACTTAGATCTAAAATATATCAACTTGGTTGCATAGACCTAACTGTTTTAACTCTCATCAAGGGTTTTATTGGCGTATTTGTAGAAAGGTGGCGTAATTTCTTACCCATGTAGCCTACCGTCCCCACCCTTCCTCTGATGAACTCTCCTTCAGGCACTTTGATGGCCAGCCCCAGATCTGAAATCCGAATGTGTCCTGCAGTGAAACAGGAGGGACATCCTCTAGTAATGTGGATAAACAGCCCAAAAATATACTTGTTCTTAAAACAAATACATGGAAAGTAGATCTGCTTTGATTCATTATTAGATATTAGTGTGGTAAACAGCTTTCACACTTATCAGCGGCATGAATTTCTTATTAATTTGGGGCTCTTACTCATCCTTTGTTTTCTCAGGTGGAATGATTTTACAGAAACAAAATGTCCATGCATGAATAAATTGCACATATTGCACATGATTTTTAAAATCTAGATGTGATCATAACTTTACATAAATTCAAACTTGTGTGTTTTTTTTGGGATGCATCCCCAAAGACCCCAAAATCAATTAAACATTTATTCCCATAGTTAGCATATGTTATACAAAGACTTTTATATTATGACTTCAAATGTATAAAAAAAAAAAAAAACTTACCATTATCATCTAGTAAGATGTTTTCTGGTTTCAAATCCCTAAAAGTAACAAAGAATGTAATAAATAGATTTTTTTATGCCACACACGACAAGAGGAATAATAATGTTCAATGAACATGTTTCTTTCTCTGCGTTTAATACCTGTAGACAATGGATTCCCTGTGCAAATGCTCGAGTCCACAGCAGATCTGAGCGGCGTAAAACTGGACCCTGTCTTTGTCGAAGCCCGGCGTGCCCATGTTGTAGATATGGAACTTCAGGTCGCCACCGTTCATGATGGTCAACACCAGACAAAGAGCGTCTTTGGTCTCGTACGCATACGCCAAACTCACCTATGGAAATTCAGAAACGTGTAACATAGTTTGAAATAACTGCGCTAGAACATATACAAAGATAAAATCCAAAATATATGCATTAAGAAATTATTACTCACAACAAACCGACTGTTGACTTTCTCCAAAATCTGTTTCTCGTTCAGGGCCATGGATTCTCCTTTCCTCTTCTTGATTCTCTTCTTCTCTAGTTTCTTGCAGGCATACATTTTCCCTGTTGCTCTGACCTGGCATGCGCACACCTGGGAAGAAGAACAAGAGTACATTCTGTGTGTTGCAGCAAAATCCTAATATTTTAGATCCAGCACCAAACTGATCCTCTTACCTCTCCAAATCCCCCCTTTCCTAGCACTCGGTACTGTCTGAATGTGTCTTTAGTGATTGGTTGCCTGATAGAACACAGATACAGCAAAATCCATTAATAAATAGTCATATGGTATTGATCAGGGCTGAGATATTATCTGCAGAACTCAATACCATCCTGACTCTGTTTCCTGTACAAAGGGTGGAGCTTCTTGTGCCTAATTTCACTTTCCAGACACAGATACGATCAATGCTGCCTTGATAGCCTGCTGTCTACTTTAAACTGACCTCGATATGTGTTTTGCAAAAAACATCTTTTATCCTGGAGAATATATATATGTTTAAAGTAAGATTGCATCCCAAAGATCATCATAAATGGCCTTCTCTGACATGTTCAGGATAGATGTTTAATATATGTATATTTAACTTTAAAAAAATAAAAAATATGGCCCTAAATCATCATGAAAACCTAAAACCCTAAGATCAGAATTAGCAAAAAAATCTTACATTATTTTTCAAATATAAATAACATTCAAATTATGGAACCCCTGCTCAAGATGTACAATAGGCTCTAAGGCACATCCATCTACAAGTAAGTAAATATAGTAGAGGATTGGTGATGCTGTGGGCTCACTTCTCTTGAGAGTCTTAAGAGTTCACATCTCCTAAAACTCTTTGAAATAACAGAAGATTTTAAATAAAAGTGGTGAGTAAAGAAATGTACATGTGGAAAAGACTAGAAGCATGCCAATACTTTGGGACTTTCCAGAGTAGATACACAGGACAGAAAATGACTGTAAGAGCAGTATGGACTTTTCAGTTGTTTTAAAGCTGTTTAAACAGCTTAAGAAAGCTTTGTTTAAATAGCTTACTGCTAAATAATACATTTAGTTTAATATTTGTTGGATTAAACTGCCCGGTAGATTTAGCTGTATTGAGCTAATGTGACAAGCGTTGGGACATAATGTAGAGATTGACTGAGAACCAGAGGAATACTGACAGCAAAACTAAAAGAGTATTTTAGTGAAGGAGCAGAGGGCAGACATTTTTATACTCATCGCTGGAAGGTAATCTGTTGGTCTATTTAATGAAAACATACTAAATCCACTGACTTTAGGTCTAGGTTTCTATAGACCAATGTTAGGACTGGGCTTAACCCTCAGGTGACTTAGAAAACTTTTATTATATACTAAACAAAATTTAATTAAGTACAGCTTTCAGACAGAGATTTAACATTTCCATTCTATAAAGTGCAGCAGTGATCAATAGTAAACTGAGTGGGAGGAAAAATATGGTGCAACAAACACACTCATATGGAATTACAGAGCATTAATGGTGCAAATATGCAGTATTTTCGGTTTGGTGTTATCAGTGCGATGCAGAGTCTGTGACATGATTTAGAGTTTTCTCAACAGTTCAACATTCTGATGGTGGTGGGGAAGAAACTGTTGCAGAATCTGCTGGACCTGCATTGAATGCTGCAAAGCCTCTTCTCAAAGAGGGCAGCAGGGAGAACAGTCCATGGTGGGGGTGTGAGGGAATAAAGTGGCTCTTAGGTTTTCGTCTTTTCCAAAATGTGAATTTCTTTTTGTGTTTGACAGAATCTTGTTGGCAAAAATATATATTATCAAAGAAAAAACAAAAGGCGGTGTTCAAACATCTCTACAAACAGCAGCCAGGAGTCATTTATGTAAAAAAGGAAGGATTAATAGTATAAATTAAAAATTGTTTTGAAAATAAAATCTTGAAATAAAATAATTTAACAAAAAAATACTAAAAACGTCTTCCAAAGTAACACACTTCATTGTATGGACTGAATAAATGCTAGTGCCTAGCCCCTGCAGTAGGGGCCTTTAAAACCAATGTCTTAAGCAGTGCAGAAAAACAGGTGCAAACAACGGGAAAATAAGAGACATGGATGAGAGGAACTACTGATTAACAGAAGGCTGCGGCTGAGAGACAAATGAAAGGAAAGAAAAAAGAATATGGCAAGCAAAAACGATACAAACTAAAACCTAATTTGCAGATCCTGACAACTATAGAAGAAAGTTAACATAGTTTAAAACTATATTTTTGGTTAATAGGAGAAATTCAATGAATACTTTGCACAGACTCTGTGAACAATATCCACAATGGTGAGTTTCATCCCATCTGTGGAATTTATACATCCATACATGTAGGAACTACAATGTTGACTAAATTTCGCAGAACTTCAAAAAGCAACAGAGAAAAGTAAAGCTTAACTATTTGTCTGTATATTACTACTAAGCATTCAGTCGAGTTATTTCAACAAATTCATATGTGCAGCAATAATTGGTACAGCTGTTGTTGATACTTTCTAAAACTCCCAGTAGATTGAAGCTACCAGGTTTGTCCCAGTATTCTAAAGACTCCATGATGTTATAAATTACAATACAGTGGTCAGGATCCTAGGGAATAAATTAGCCGACAGCATCACAAATCCTCCACCTTCCTCACCTCAACTACTTCCACTGACTAGATTATGGATGGTAAAAATGAATCATTATGGATTTCTCTAAATTTCTTAATGTGGCATTATACTGTTGCAAGGTGATTTCAAGGCTTTATCATTTTATCGAAAAATGTAATGGGTTGTTGGATGCAGTGTAAATTTGTGCATTTCCCCCCATTGTTTTTCGAAATATTGCAATTATTTTAGAAAAAAAAATGCACTGCACTATACAACCAGAATATGACCTTAAAGGAATAGTACACCCAAAACATGATCAGCCTTAATTTTCTACTCACCCCCATGCTGAACAACACTCTGGAGTACTTTTTTGATATCTCAAATGCATCTGGAGATCTGGGAGGCTTCTTGCTGTCTGCTGACATTCAAATAATGGAGGTCTATGGTGCCCGAGACAGAAAGGTCCATAAAAGTCCACAAAAAACGTGTCAATATTCCTCCATACTGCTCGTCCAATGTATTCCAAGTGTCCTGAGTGGGTAGCATCCAGAATTTACTCGAAACGAAGTCATTTAGAATGTTTTTAGAGAATAAACATAAGTGTATAGGATTTCCTGAAAGCGCGCACCTGCGCGTTCAGGATGCTACGGAAGCCGGCAGACCAAACCAGATGAAAGTGCGCATTCAGCGTCTGCTCTGCCAATAATGCAAGCGTAGAAGAAGAAATGTGCTGTTTACCTGTGCAAAGAAAGAAACAACGAAAGAAAAATGTCTGAGGACTTCAGTGTTGAGGAAGAGCATGAGTTCTTTGCTGAGCTGAATGCGCACTTTCGTCTGGGTTGGTCTGCCGCGGTTTCCGTAGCGTCGTGAACGCGCTTTCAGGAAATCCTATACACTACTGTTTATGCTCTAAAAACATTCTAAATGACTTCGTTTCGCGTAAATTCTGGATGCTACCCACTCAGGACACTTGGAATACATTGGACGAGCAGTATGGAGGAATATTGAAACGTTTTTTGTGGACTTTTATGGACCTTTCTGTCTCGGTCACCATAGATCTCCATTATTTGAATGTCAACAGACAGCAAGAAGCCTCCCAGATCTCCAGATGCATTTGAGATATCAAAAAAGTACTCCAGAGTGTTGTTCAGCATGGGGGTGAGTAGAAAATGAAGGCTAATCATGTTTTGGGTGTACTATTCCTTTAAGTAGGTAATTGCAACAACTTCATTATCACAGCTTTTCAGTTGTTTCATTTTATTTTTCATTAAAAAAGAAAAAAACAAAAACAAAACAACAAACCTCTCCAGCACCTTCCACTGAAGGAAGCGGTCAAAATACATGCTGTTCTGATAGTCTGAAAATGGCGCTCCACTCAGGTACTCATGGACGGCCCTGGTGCAACAAACATACAAAATCATTAAAAAGGACCAAAAAAAAAAAAAAATCCCAGAATCTTACATCTGTTGATGTGACAAAATTCAGGGAGAAAAATGTGAGATAAGAGGCATAATGAATGGCGACTCACTTGCGGCAGTCGCCGAAGATCTCCTTACATGGACTGAACTCGAGGTTCTCTCTGCATTGCTCTGCAAAACCCTCCGCTATGTCTACCCGCTGAGGTGACTGCATCAACACAAGTAAACACACACAGTCACAAGTATGCACACACACTCACAAATCCATCACCTCCTAACGTATGCACCACTTCAAGATAAGCAGAAAATACAAGGCACATATTCCTGTATGTTAAGTATAGATTTCTCTCAGACTTCATAAGCATGTTCAATATTTGCACCTTTGTCAATTTTCTTTGTGGCTCGTGTCATTGTTGCATCAAGATTATTCTTAAGATTGCCACATCAATGTGTCAAAGGTTGAGTTTCACTTTTGCGGTAGTGTGAACATTTACTTCGGCAGTTAATAACAGGTGTGAAAATACCAGTTAAGGAAGCTTACTTGTTTTGAAAGAAAGGTCTTGATGATTTGCTCCCCTCTGCTTTTTCGTTTTTCATCAGACGTAACCTCATAGTCTTCCTAAAAAAAGAACAAAAAAAAACCCAGAATAATATAACTTATAAAGTCCTGGTAATGACTTGCACTACACTTTGATATTGGAATTATTTTAATTAAACAAACTATTTGCCACTTAATAAAAAACAACATGTCTGTTGAATTTCTTAAGCACTGCCATAGATTGATCTGTAGTAAAGTTTCAGTGGCATCTCTCATAAAAGGGATATTACTCCAACATAATGAAGACATCATGCTCGATGTCTTCTATATCAACCTTTAAAAGCCAATTCCAGCAAAAGCACCTGCAGTCCTGGCGATGCAATGTATGCAGTTGATACTGGACCCATAGGGAAAATAAAGAAAACATTTATTTAAGTTAAACATATGTGATATAGTCTCTAAAACCTTATTATATAATCACAATATATTAATATTACAGTGTCACAAAATCTGTATTTTTAATAATCAGTGCATTCAAAGGGTTGTTTGGAAATATATATATAAACAAGTACAGTAAACAGAGCATCTTAACAAACAGCAGAGTTTAAAAAAGGAGTATAAATGACATTTTAATTTGCCCTAACCTTTCAAAGCCTGGACAAATAAATAATTGACAGAAAATGACATTTTTTTCATTGAACTTTCTGATACCTGAACTAAAAAACAAATATTTCATATAAGGTAAATTAGATCATTTATTTGCATAAATTTTGTGTATAATCTTTTATACGTTTTCTGTTCTGTGTCTGATTGTGTGTCAGGGTTTTAAGCAGCTAAAAATATCACACTGATGATGCAAAGATCCTAAAAACTCATGGATCAAACACGATATATGTACTTAGCTTTAAAGGGTTACGGTAAAAATAAAATACTTTTAAAAATGTCAAGAAAACTATGAGACCAAACGTTGGAATGATTGAACTAATTTCTGGTATGGAGTACCTTTATGATGGTACCCTATGAAGACTGTAACAACAGTCTGGTTGACACACCAAGCTGTAGGAAAAGGCTGGATGTTTCTGGGGCAAGAGTACTTCATCATCATGGGTAAATTCATTAAATGCAATCTTAAAGCTACAGCCAGCATGGGGAAGATTTCTACTAAGCTTTCCAGAGGAGGGTTCATTTTATCTAACTTTTGATAAAAACAATCTTTTGTTTTCAACGCAAATTTGTACAATTAATTAAAATCTGTCCTCTTCATTTCACCAATCCCCTCAGCAAGCATTCTAGGGGCTCAGGGTTTTTGGTCAAGTACCCTGAGTTGCAGTCTGCAGGATTCAAACAAGAGAACTTGAAGCTTTCTTGTAAGCGCCCTGCTAACCTAACCATTAGATCCTTCGAACCAACAACAGTGAAGACAGTTATAAAGAATTAATAATTAACTTTCTGAAAGGAAAAAATGTCCAACACAGATCCTTAGATCAGGGTCTTCTTTACTATTGGTACCACAACTATCAATGCAATGTGACCAGGTGTTAATGGCTGTCCAGAGCCTGATGATCTCTACAGTAAGACAACCCAGGAATAGTTTCATTTCAACTTCAAAATAAAGGTCTCCAAATGCAGTGTGTAAAGCTCTAGGCCCTCACCACTTGACATTAAAAATAACTGCTTTAACTGAAAGAGAAACTTTATGACAATAAATAACATAACATTTTAATATCACGCAATTTTGCTACACCTCCTTCAATCAGTGATCAAAGAGACATTTATTTGTAGGGAGCTTGTCATGGGATGGGAAGGACTGTTCTGGAGAAGAGCTGCAACACTTCATAAGCTGTGTTTGATGTCCGTCATGCAGTCGAAAGCTTATGAGATTTGAAATATCTTCCGGCAGCCATTCCTCTGCAAAGTATAAAGCTGCATTTGTTGTCAGACAGGCTCCGAGACAGAGTAGTATGTCGGGACCTTTATTGCCATTAAGTACTCATCAGTGTTTTGCTCTTAGTCTATTCTATGCACCAGAGATCTCATATTTCTCATAATGATGAAGGAAACAAACTTTCTCCTCCACACTCTCCCTTCTGGAGTTGCTTCATATCCATAATGTTTCCTCCTCAACTCATCAGGGATCTGGCAGTCCTATTTTGAACATTTGTTGAACTTTGGAAAGTTCAGTCAGCTGCTTCTGCTTGTAAACAGCGTTCCTGTCGGCATGGTTACTCGTCATGTCAGGTTTAGCAGACAGGAAACCCATTAGGCAGCACACAGAATCCAACAGATAAAAAAAAAAATCAAATTCAAAATGAGGTTTTAAACTTAAATCAAGCAGTGAGGCAAAGATTAGAGAAAATTACAAGACTTAGAGCCATAGGGACACAAATAAGCTATTCAAGGAATTTTCTTTAAAATGTCAATGATTTACAAAGCGAAGAATATTTCCATGACTGGATGAATATGTTGACAGTCAGGAATTAAATAATGGTGCCAAAAATGTTAGATATAACAGCATTTCCTTTAGAAATACGACAAAATTAGGGTTAACTGGATAGGAAACTGCATTAATCCATGGATTGTGCTGAAATGCGCTGCTAATATGTGAAATGGATCTGTGTCTTGCAGTGCTTTAAGAAAAAATTAGTTGTTAATATTTAATATTTGAATAAACAGATCTGCAAAAGCTTCCTAATAATAAATGTTTCTATTGGCAAACGTATATGCTGTTTTTAAATCAACAGCATACGCAGACAATAATGTTACATCCACCAGAACTGTGAGTAATGTACATTGTTAAACAAAAAAATGGAAAATCTACAGATATCATAAAATGACAATTTTTAATACTCCTCAGTGTTGTAAAGACCTATTTTTCTTTTTAGAATTTAACTTCTATATCTGTTTTTCATATTTGTTGAAATCTTTCAGTTGTTAAAATTAAGAAACCAGTTTTACAACTTAACCTTGATAACATTTTGGACATTTATTGGCCCACTCACATGCATTAAAATTGTAAAGACATATCAATTTTGTATATTTTCCAAACTAAAACGTTAATCTAGAGTGAAAAAAAACCAAAACAAAATGAGCTGCAAAAAACTAAAAACTATATAGATCAGCACATGCTATCATGGATAGCAACCTGACACATAGTCGTATAAGAAATTAAATGCTAATGTTAAATGCAGCCCAGTATCTTTCTTTAGAGTCAGCAATGCTAAGCTTAGCAAGCTTTATGTCTCAAGTATGCATAAAATAAAGATTTGAGTTTTTTATATGTGAGTTAGAGCTGCTTTTCTATTGAAAATTCAACCATTATCTTAACTAAGGCTAAGACAATCATGATTAATCAATTATTGAAATAATTGTCAACTGATTTAGTACTTGATTAATCGTTAACTGGAGTATACAGACTCTAAACCAAGCCTAAAGCTGACAGAGAAACACAACCAGAGCAGTTATTAAACAAAATTGTAAAAAAAATGTATAAACATTTTGCATTTAAGATAAAAAAAATGCTCTTTGCAGAACTCCTTAAGTGGGAAACTTAAAATTTCCCTTGTAAGGAATCTTCTTTAAGCAAGTTTTGCTATCCATTTATTAGGGGTAAGTATTAGCATGGGTGTTTCGATACGATATGTGTCACAATACTTGAGTCACGATATGATATTATCACGATATTGCAATAATCACAATATATTGATATATTTTTCCCACCTTTCAAAATTAAATGTATAGATAAAAAAGAAAGTGCTGTATATATTCGTCAGAAGATATAGATCATCTAGTTATTTTGGCATCCATGTTGTTTGGAGTTTGAGTCAGTTCATGTCTTCCACTGTGACTGCTTCAACTACAGATATGGAGCTGAGTTGCAGAGCAAAAGGGCTCCAAAACAATCTGCCAGAGTGGAGGTGAAGAAGTAGCCCTTTTCCCCTCATTTTATTAGGTGAAAATCTTTTGTTTAAAAAAAAAAATCAATACTAGGAACTGAAAAAAAAAATATATATATATATAAAATATTATATTGGGCACCCGAAAGTCACGATATATAGGCAGAATAATAATCAGCAAAACTATCGACAGATTAATCGATTAGCAAAATGAACATCAGTTGCAGCCCTAATCTTAACCCGCTTTAATCATACAGGTGCTGGTTCCTATCTCCAGCAGTCATTGTATGATGCATCGTATGATGTTACATAATCTGTCTTTTGTTTTGATTTAGTACTTCCAGACATGTAACTTGTTATATGTAAACTTGGAAATGAGTTTATATTTTAACACCTAAAAAAGTTAAAAAATAAGCAACTTGTTTTTATTCAAATTATAGCTGTTAATTGAAACCAAAAATGTTTGGTTTGAGGTGTAAACCACTTTTTATCTAAACTGCTTGTGAACATCTCTGTAAAGGTCAGCAAAGGTCAACCCTAATGAATAAAAGCTGAGCTACATGTCAGTCATTTAAGCACCGTTTCAGTGACCTGTTCAGATAGCAATGTAGAGCTCTGATTACTTAAACAGGCAGATTTCTTGGTCGTTTACCCCGGTTGCCCCCTCCCCACTTCTTACTCTGCGTCTACACTAAATACTTCCCACATGACACATTTAAGTCTTTATCTATCAACACCCGGAATATCTTTGTGGGGCATGTGACAGGACAGAAAGGACAGCATTGTTTCCCAGAACAACCCTCGCCCTCCCTTACTCTGCCTTCTTTTAAACACCCACTCCTATAAGTGACCACCTCTGCGAGAGGAAAACCACTTACACACATTTATTTCATTCACACGCAGAAGCTAATTTCTCTCCCAGCCCATGTGACCAACTCTGACGCTGCGCTCTTTGTTGGGCATTATTTGCGGCACTCAATAAGCCAGGTCTGAGTGTGGTTACGGCAGAGCGGATCCGTGTATACGGAGTGATTGGATAACACTCCTATGAGCCGTGTGCAGTTATGAGCTTTGCTTGACATGTTACGCAATCTAGATGCCGTGCTTTTTAAAACATTTTAGAAACAAGTTGGCAGTTAAAGGGAGACGAAAATGAGGAGGAGAAAGCCTGAATGTTCAATTTCAAGAGAAATATGTTGTTTTTAAGAGTTCTTGGAACAGAGGAGGGAATGCACTTGGGCGCTTCCAGAAAATCCTGCTGCATCACAGGGGGGCGAATGTGTGTATTTTATGTGCTGGATCCCCACTGCTTCCAAAGAGCCAAAGGGACGTCTCCTTTCCCCTTTGGCTGACCCCCCACCCATTGCTGGTGGGGGGGTCAGACTCCATTGGCTTGTGCGTTTGTCAGGATATCTCAGTGTGTGTATGATATCAGTGGAACTACTGATAACAAACACCGTTAACAATCACTATTCTTTGCATTTCAATCATTTTTTCAAAAACTATTTTTCAGTTACTGTTTGGTTTTTCAATCGATTTTCCACTCAAGCTCTTGGGTTTCGTGTGCGTGCATGACTTTCTGTGTGTGTTTTGTAGAGGAAATCTGGTTACGCTTGTGTGACACACTGTGACACTCCAGGACCTCAAGGAATCCCACTGTGTTTACTGTGGTATTGCCAGGCAACGCGGAGCCATGCTGGAAAAGGCCCATCTATTAGGGGGTGGGGGGGTCTCGCTTGCATCACGAACACCATGTTGCTCCCCTCCGTCCCTTCATGAAAGCAAACACCACTTTGAGACATACTGATGCAGAAAGGTCTCCGTCATAAACAGCGTTTGCCAAATCCTCCAAATCTTTACATTTAACATTTATACTGTTCCAAACTCTCAATTATTTTAATAAATTCGCCATGACTTTATGAGAAATATTTTAACAGTGAGGTGACTTTACACATGACTTTACCTCAAGACAATGAGGAGCGATTAGAGCACAAGAAAGGACACAAAGAAGGGAAAAAAGGGAAGGAAACAAGAAATGAACTGAGGATGAACAGAAGAAGTAAAGCAAGGAGGAAAATGAATAAAGAAGGACATTAGGGAAAAGAAATAAAATCTGAAAAAAATATATATATTTCCATGAAATTAAAAAATTTGCCTGCACAGGGACCCTGGATCATTAAATATAAAAATGAGCTCTAAAGCAAAGAGATCAACTCAAATTGACACCCTCCAAATGGACATAGGACTGCTTATAATCATAAAAACTACTGAAATAATTTGTGTTGTGAAGGTTATCAGTCATCCAGGTCATAGTCATTCATAAAAAGTAAAAAAAAAAAAAACATCAACAAACAAACAAACAACTCTGATGGGCTACTGTATAAAACCTCGAACTCAACGCTGTTCCTGACATTTTGAATTGAACACGCTTCAAACTTGGAAACAAAGTACAGTGGATTGTTTTGTTTTTTTTTTTTTTTTTTTTTGGAATACAGAAGTAATTATAGCATTTAAGTTAAGATTTATGTCTTTAATATTCATGGGGAAAATAGATTGCTTGTAAAGCTCTGACTCGAAGCACAAATTGTCTGGTAGCATAGTTCTTAGGGTCTGTTTTTTTGTAGTACAGATCAAACACTCAAAGTTGATCAAATATTAAAGGAATAAGCCCTCGTCTAAATTCCTCAAATCGCCGTTTCTAAAATCAACGACTGGACAATAGAAACCTGGAGAAAACTGGAAGGTCAACAGGAAATTTGTCTCAAATGTGCATCAAAAAATGTTTTGAAATGTATGCAGTACTCTTTAAAGTAGGATCTGTGCCAAGAAACCAGCCGATGTTACTCAGTTACTACCATGCGTAATAATAAGACTGATAAAGCAACAAAACCAAAATTATACCACAACCTTCTGGACTGCTACAAAAAACTTTTTTTTTGTTTTTTAAACTAAAATATTTTTATTTTGTTTTCAATTAACTTTCATAAAAAATTGAGAAATGACTAACTGACAGAACAAAATCAGTATTAAAATGTTATTCATCTAAATCATATAACAATGGAAACAATAAAAAAAAGCATATGATGTTTTTATTTGAGACCAAAATAATTTTTATCTTGAAGAAATAAAAACGTGAACCAGAAGATAACCTGAAGCTGTGTTTCAAGTTTTACTAAACATATCCAGTTTTGTCGATAGACAGAAGAGATTTTGGCCAAACAGTAGCAAAAGATCTGCTTTGCATTTTATATGCAGTTTTCTACATCTATTACTTCAATTTTGACAGAATATGAAGTAAAAATTACACAACTCTACATCATAATCTTTAATGTTCAGAGTGGTCAAACCTGACCCAAATGTTTCCGTTTTAAAAATGAATTATCTGAATAACTTTGAGCCCTTCATTCTGTTTATACTGGGGGGGGTTTCAGCTTGAGAAATATCATAACCTCTGAAATAAATGCAATGTATAATGCTTTTTAACCTGGACACTATGTTTTTTTTATTTGAATACTGTGTTTATTTTTATTTTTTTAACCCAGGGCCCTGTTATGTCAAAGGATGGCACAATTGCTTAAAAAAAAAATAAAAAAGTCAATTGCGACTCTGAATGTGTGTATAGGTGTACCGTTGCATCAAGCAGCTGGATGCATCTTTGCAAGTTGGGTTTGGTCTCACAGTAAAGACGAAACAGAAGCCGTCCAATGGGCTGCTTGTCACAGATGCTGGAATAATCCCTGTCTGGAAAGATAAAAAAAAGCAAATAAACTTATAACCTAACACTTAATTGCGCCCTCTTCAGATGAAAAGAAAGCAGAAAAACGTACCGATGGTTTTTCCCAGTTCAGCACACTGGCTTATGTGGGGAAAGCGAAGGATCTCCTTCCATTTTTTGCTCCTGCCTTTCCGTTTCCCACCTCCACCTGTGGCGACACACAAATGAAACAGACATTAAAATGGTAGGAATTCTTAAAGTTGTCCATGTTAACTTTTACCAGTGAGGGAAAACGGTAAGGACCAATCAGAAGTGGAAGAAAGAGAGGAAGGGGAGGGCAGGATAGTGAATGGGCTTTCCCCTGAATGAAATCACAGTCTCAGTGCGTATATATAATTCATAGATTACATCTCACTTCCTCCATAAATTTCTCCGGTGGCTTTCCTACTAGCTTCCCTGAAAGTGGAACAGTGTGTGTGTTTAGTGGGAGTGTGTGTGTTTGCGTTCGCTCAGACAGAAAGTCTCTTCTGACCCGCTCCTTTTCCACAAGAACTCAGGCCTGACTTGATTCCATCACTCTAAATCTTCAGACATCTAAGGGAATATTTTGAAGGAGTAATTCAATAATCAAATGTGCTTTTCATATTTGGCTGCTCTCACATCTCATATCCATAAATCACAATCCTGTTTGCCTGGTTTGTGCTCCCCATAATAGAATAAAACACAATCAGCAGTGAAAGATGTCGCTTTGAATCTTTTTAATGAACTGACCAGAATTTTCCTTATTTTCCAACAAGTTTTACCCAGTTTGATAGGCACTGTGTGCATGAAAGCAAGAGAGGAAACGACAAGCAGACATCTTTAAGTAATAACTCAGGAATTCAAGAAGCGCTACGTCATTCTGGAGCCTGTGAGTGAAAGCTTTAGCAGTTCTCCCATCAATCCCACTGCATTCATGCCTCATCCTTTCCATTCCTGCTGCCTGAAACATATCTGTTAACCCCAAATGCAAAACTGCAATATATGCTGGGAAAACAACACTATATCCATTCTGTTTATTTGAAACAGATTTCTGTCTTTTAAGTGTCTTACATGGATTTATGTCTCAATATAACCACCATTTGTTTTATAGGTATGTGTGAAGAGAAATTACTAATTTACATCACAACATGCAGCCCAAACCAAGGGAAAAAAAGGTGGTGGCAGCATCATACTGCGGGAAAGAGCAGAAAAAGGATAACAAAAGCTGTTTTTTTCATGTATTTAACGAAACCCAAGTGAGCAGAAAACAAATTGATGCCCAAACTTTAAGAATCGACGAGGGAAATACATTTTGCCACATTGTAACTGTCATGGTGTGATAGACCAGCACCATCCAAATCAAATGAAAATCTGAATTGTATGACAAACTTACTCTCTGCATTTAACCCATCCTCTTGGGGAGCAGTTGGCTGCCACTGTGCGGCGCCCGGGGAGCAGCAGTGTGGGGTTAAGCGTTTTGATCTGGAACCCTGGGTGGAGATTGTGGGGTTTGAACCAGGTACTTACAACCTTCTCAGAGCACAAGCGCACTGCTCTAACCACTAGGCCAACACTCACCTAATTTGCATTTATCAGTCTGACTTTTCTCTGTTCATTCCTCATAAAATCAAGTACAAACAGTGACTTTAAGAATGCTCTTAATCAGTAAATGTTATATTAGGGTTTTGTTTTAAAACTCTGAAAAAGAAGCAAAAGAAGCCAGATTTGATAGAAAGTCATAAGAGGATCTGCTTGCAGTTAGCCATAATCCATATGAAGGACAGAGTAAACATGGCGGTAGATGCTCCTCTAACTTTACTGCTAAACACACTCCAACCTAGAATGCAGACAGCATAAAGTCTCTGCCTATTCACATTTCCTCTGACCTTCCTCTGGATTTAAAACATTTTCTGTCTGACTAAGAACTCCCAGTAACGGCTATTCTTTCTCATTAGTTGAGGCGGACAGGACTCACTTCTAAACTGCTTCCAAATGTCTACATGGAAGGAGATAGGCCAGGTGGTGAAGATAGACAAGAGAATCTGCCAGATCCAAAGTCGGTGGAAATGCCACAGATCCCACCCACACGGCTGATCTGCTGTTTGTCCCATTTCCATCCAGAAAACAGTACAGCAGCATCAATCCAAGGCATTACCCATCACCCACATTAAGTCAGACACTATACGAGTGAAACGTTCCACACATACACACTGCCCCCCTCCAGCCAAACACTCCCACCTTCACGCATACACAACAACCCACCTGACCATCAAACAGAGCAGCAGCCCATCTTATAGACTGGACTGACACCGGCTGCATTTTATGTGCACACTAAACACCACATTTCTATGTCCACATTCTGACTTTTTTATTTCTATTTTTTCTCGTATTTGTTTTTTCTTTTAAAGTGGCTTTATATCTTTATATCTCTAATTTTTGTCTGTGAGTTAAGATCTAATGCAGTTATAGCATCAGGCGCATCTGGTTTACATTCAAGTCTACATTGGACACGCATTAAGGGTGTCAAGAGGTCCTGCGGCACGTTTTGACTGTCTGGTGTTACAGGTCTCGTATTGTTATAAGATTTCAGGCGTTGCCAGGAAGCATGTCCAAACTGTCAGACACAGGAATTGGAAAATCTGAACTTTTGCAGCTTGATAAATATTTTCTTTCTGGAAGGTGGCGAAAATGTTTATAATTAGCACCTACATGAACTCAAAAGGTCAAAATTGCTAAAGAAAAATCTCTGACTTTATATTCCGGAATAGTTTTTACCACATACTTAAAAAAAAAAGCTCTATATTTACTTCCAGCGACCATAAACAGCAAATGGGAAATACCCAAGGGATTTGCCAGGGCAGGGCATTGAGCAGATTTGACCGCCCCAAGCAGATCTGCTACCTACGCTGGCATGAAGGAGTTGTAACTGGTGATTCTTAGCATGACATCCAGGCAGTATGCTGGCATCTGCCACTCATCCAACTGCAGAATATTTAAAACAGGATCATAATCTTGATAAACTGACTGCAGAGATGAAGTTTTAAGGTTTACTTTATTGCTTAAGAACATCTTAAAACTACTTTTCTCTCCAATTAACACAGTAAACAAAGGAAAGTCACCCTTTTCATTTCACTTGCCATTGTACACAAGAGACAGGCGTTGCGCCATATTCATATTTAGTGAATCAAGCTGTCGTGGATTCTCCTCACAGTCTTCTGTCTATAAACCCTAAAATCATAGGATTTCTACCTTAACCTAAAGTAAAAAATACAAATAACTACACCAAAAGAAGTCTGTGATGAAATATAAGTAGCGCCCTTAACGTACAATATATGATAGGTCACAGGATATTGTGCAATACCCGCAACATGCATCAGATGTATGTCTCAGCGACCGTCTGAAAAGCGGCAAAGATGAGGAGTTGGATGATCAAAAGTGTTCACCATGGATGCAGCATAAGGAGTTTTTGCTAAATGTTGTGGTTTCATTACAACAGTAAAGATTATTTATCCTTGAAGAGGCTTCAGTTGATTAAAAAAAGAAGAAGTAGGACTTTTTGTCAATATTTAAAATATTATTTGTGCTGAAGAACTAATGCTTTGCAACTAGACTATATCTACCATTCAAACTTTGATGTACGATGGTGGCAGCATAATGCTGGGCTTTAGGGATGCTCTTTTTTTTTATTTGGGGAGAGGCAGGGATGCCAAAAGTAATTTAGTTTAAAAAAAAATTGACTAAAGGCTTAAGGAAAGAAATGTCACAACTTCCAGATTTTTGAATTAAAATTAAAAGCTATTCATGTTTTTTCTTCCATTTTGCAGCTATGCAGTACAATTGTAATTTTTTATTAAAATCCTATTTAATAGTGCGAACTTTGTTGTTTTAACACTATAAAATCGGAAAGGGTGCAATGGGATACAAATACTCTTGCAATGTTGCAATAAAGCTGCCTTGTCGCCTCAAAATATAGGAAAATATAGGTATTTCCGTTTAAACAATAATTTTTGGAATTGGCATATTTGACATTTTATTGTTGTTCTTTCAGTTTTGGCACACAAAGAAACAGGTTTCCTGGCCCCTTAGGGTCGTGTCACAAACTCAAGTTCAGTTTTTCTTTTCTTTGAGGTAAACCTCAGCAGTGGAAACCAGACACACAGAATAGCCACATCATCATGAACAAACACAAAGCAAGAATGTCTTAATAACCGAAGTCAAAATATCCTCTGAGACAATCATTAACCTCCAGCATCTGCTCCTCATCAACATTACAGTAGACCAAACACGCTACGTATGTGAAAAAAAAAGGCAAACTTCCTTATTAAAGCCTCAGTTGTTCTCAGGAGTTAATGAGTTAAAGTTTGCAGGGTGACTAAATGTCAGCATACTTTTCTATGGTAAAGCATTTTAATCTCTTTTATTAAAAACATAATGTCAGCCAAAACACACAAAGCAGTTCAGTGAAAGGAGAAGGTCATTCCCCATGGGGGGTGAGGGGTTAGTGCTACTGGTAGGGATCTATGGATAAAAGGTTCCACCGAACGGCACAGATTTCCTGCCACGGGTCAACACAGTGTTAAATAATTGTACTAAACACTGGGTTCCACCCAGGCATTCAAAGTGTACACAATGCTGAGACAATTACAAATAATGCAGTTCCTCCTTTTTCCGTCTGTGTCCTGTTTTCTTTCCCTCGCACTGCTCCCTTAGCTTGTTTATTTTTCATCTTCTTCTCCTCCTCATCATCCCGTTAATGTTCCTCCAACTATAGCTCTCCTTCCCAACAAACAAGCCTTTTTCTTTCACAATCGGGTTCCCGGTTCCTGTCACTTTTACAACAACCCTGTTTCACTTCTTCGGTTTTATTTTTAGAGGCACTATAAAAACTAACCTGAAGACTCCTTTATAAACTTTGCGTATGCAGAAAACAGGGCCTGAAACTTCGGTATGCCAACTTCCATACAAAGCTTATGATCTATATAAAAAATAATAATTTTAGGTCTGCATTTTTTAGAAATGGGGGAAATTGGTGACAGTGATGGTGACTGAGTTGAGGAACTGAAGCCAGACTACATCATAATTTCTCTCAGATATTTAATTTCACTTCATATGAAACTATGGGGCTGCTCAGTGGCGCAGTAAGAAAGTTGCAGGTTTGATTCCTGACCCGGAGTCTTTCTGCGTGAG